TCCCCTCAGCAGTGTACTACGTTCCGTCTGCCTGTTCTGCTCCCCACTCTGTCTCTGGTGAATCCTCTCACACACACAACCCCCACCTCTGGCCTACACCCCAGTTCTCGTATGCATAAATTAATAAATCTTTAAAAAATAAATAAATAAAATGAACAAACAAAAAACCCTCAATGGCTTCCTGTTGTCTTGATAAATAAAACTAAATCTAACTAGGCTGACCGTAAGCATTCATGCAGCGCTTTATGGCAGGCGCTGTTATCAATGATTAGTTCAGCAGAAGAAATGGCCCTGAGTTGTATTGCCTTTGAGCAGATTCCACAGGTGACTCTTTGTGATGAGTATAAAGTCCAGGCTGAATAACACTGTAACTATTAAGGAAATTGAATTTGTAAGTCAAAAACACCAGAAAAAGAAACCGCCAGACCCAGATAGAAAATTCTACCAAAGCTTCAAAGAATGAACCGCACTTTCAAATAATCTCTACCAGAAAACTGAAGAGGAAGAACTCCTCCAATTCATTCCATGCAGCTAGCATCAGCCCGAGACCAAAACCAGACAAGGACAGCATGAAGAAAGCTACAGACCATCCCCTGAGGAATCTAGATGCATCTAGGAATCTAGATGCCAAAGTTCACTAAATATTGGGAAATAGAATTCAGTGATATATAAGAATTATACAGAATGACTAGAGTTTACTGCAGGCATGCAAGGCTGGTGCAGTGTTCAAAAGCCAACGTTGTCCACCATTTTCTGTGCTAGACAGAATAATGGTCCCCTAAAGATACCCTTGTCCTGGGGGGTGGGGATTCTATGGGGAATAGAACCAAAATGAAAATGCACACATTGTGTAAAAATGAAAATGATGTAAGAATTATATAAAATAGGGCCTCCCTGGTGGCGCAGCGCTTGAGCGCTGGGTTGCGAAGCTGCCCGCAGCCTTTGCAGCGCCAGTTCGATCCCCAGCCGCGGGGCGAGGGTCCCACATGGCGCGCAGACCTCTCCTGCCGCCCGCGGCTCCCCTCAGCAGTGTACTTCGGTCCTTCTGCCTGCTCTGCTCCCCGCTCTGGCTCTGGTGAATTCTCTCGCCCTCCCGCGCTTCTGACTGTACCCAGTGCTTGTATAAATAAATAAATAAATCTTAAAAAAAAAAGTGAAAAGCCTTTCCCCCTCCTTCCCCCTTAAAAAAAAAATTACATAGGGCCTCCCCGGTGGCGCAGCGGTTGAGCGCTGGGTTGCGAAGCTGCCCGCAGCCTCTGCAGCGCTGGTTCGATTCCCGGCTGCTCCCCGGCCACCAGAGGAGGGTCCCACATGGTGCGCAGACCTCTCCTGCCACCCGCTGCTCCCTCAGCAGTGTACTTTGGTCTTTCTGCCTACTCTGCTCCAGCTCTGGCTCTGGTGAATTCTCTCACCCTCCCATGCTTCTGACTGTACCAGTGCTTGTATGAATAATAAATAAATCTTAAAAAAAAAAAAAAAAAAAAAAAAAAAAAAAAAATTACATAAAATAAAATAAAAGATACCCTTGTCCTAACCTCCCAAACCTGTGAAGATGGTAGGTTATGTGGCAAAGGGGATTTAAGGTGACAGAATCAAAGTTGCTAACCAGCTGACTTTTTTTAAATAGGGAAATGGTCCTGGATTGGGGTGGGGGAGTCTAGTGTTATCACAAGGGTCCTTGAAAGTGGAAAAGAGATTCAGGAAGAGGTGAAGATGGGAGAATTTCTGAGATGGGATGTGGCGGTTTTATAGATAAAGGAGACCATGAGCCAAGGGATGTGGAAGCCCCTAGAAGCTGGAAAAGGCAAGGACGTAGATCAGCCTCTGAGCCTCCGGAGAGGAACCCAGCCCTGTCCGCACCTTGATTTTAGCTTCGCGACATCCACGTAGCACCACTGAGCTGCAGGCCTGTAAGACAGTACACGTGTGCGGTGTTAAGCTGCTAAATTTGTGATAATTGGTCATGACGGTCATAGAAAACACATGGGCTGAAAGTATAAACATCCCGTGATCATATCAATTGATGCCAAGAAAGCATTTGGCAAAATTCAATACACACTCATGATAAAAATTGGCAAGGGCCTCCCTGGTGGCGCAAGGGGTTAAGCACAGCGCTGTGAAGCTATCGGCAGCCTCTGCAGGACAAGTTCGATTCCCGGCTGGCCAGGGAGCAACCCACATGGCGAGCAGACCTCTCCTGTCTCCCCGCTGCTCCCCTCAGCAGTGCATTTCAGAGGATCTGCCTGTTCTGTTCCCCACTCTGTCTCTGGTGAATCCTCTCACCCTCCGCATCTCTGGCCTGTGCCCCAGCTCTTGGAAGCATAAATAAATAAATAAATATATTTTTTAATTATTGGCAAATTTGTAGCAACATGGATGGAGCTGGAAGGGATGATGCTAATTGAAATAAGTCAGAGGGAGAGAGATACATACTGAATGGCCTTACTTACATGCAAAATACAGAGAACAAGCTAATGGACAAGAAAAGGCAAAATGGCAAGTTGACCACAGATCTGAGGCAAACCGCAGGGGAAGGAAGGAGGAGGGTCCAAACAGGAGGGAGGAGCACAGGGGGATATGGTTCTGGGTCCCTGGGAGAATGGAGAACTATGGCGACTGCATCTGGGGGGAGAAATCAAATATTGTACAAAAATGAACAACGATGGGCCTCCCTGGTGGCGCAAGGAGTTAAGTCTCAGCACTGTGAACCTATCGCCTGCCACTGCAGCATGAGTTCCATCCCCGGCCGGGAGATACCCACGTGGCGTAGCAGACCTCTCCGCCTCGCCCGCTGCTCCCCTCAGCAGTGTGTTTCAGTCAGTCTGCCTGTTCTGTTCCCCACTCTGTCTCTGGTGAATCCTCTCACCCCCCACACCTCTGGCCTATACCCCAGTTCTTGTATGAATAAATAAAAATAAATATTTTTAAAAAATTGAACAATGATGTAAAAATATTTTTAAAAATGAACAACAAATGTAAAAAAAATTTAAAAAACCCAACTCTTGGCAAACTAGGACAAGGGGAATGCCACGCCAACTGGGTAAAGAATATGCAGGGACGCTCAGAAGCACGGCATGAATGGAGAAGCAGCTTCCCCAAGGGCCCCGGGCAGGGAGGTCCTCCGGATGCAGTGACAAAGTGTCTGTCTCTCTGTCCCACCTAGAAGCTCTCCTACTTCCTTTTCCTTTCCCTCTAGGATTAGTACCCCCTGCTCTTCCTTTTTTAAAAGATTTATTTTTTTATTTATACAATAGCTGTGGTACAGGCTGGAGGCACAGGAGGGTGAGAGGATTCACCAGAGACAGAGCAGGGAGCAGAAGAGGCAGACAGACCGAAAACACTGCTGAGGGGAGCAGCGGGGAGACAGGAGAGGTCTGCTGCGCCATGTGGGTCAGCTCCCTGGCCGGCCGGAAATCAAACCCGCGCTGCAGAGGCTGTGGACAGCTTCACAGTGCTGCGCTCAACCCGCTGCACCACCAGAGAGGCACCCCCCCCCCCCGCCCTGCTATTTTACAGTCCAAGGAAAAAGATCTTCGCCACGAAGATAACATCAGGGCTGCTGGCCACAGGTGATGGCGGAGGCAGGCTGTCTCAGCCACAGCCTCCAGATGCCTGTGTTGCCAGGATGGACACGCTGCTCCCTGCCCCCTCCCCCTACGGCCCCTTTGGCACCCTGGATACATACCCTGGCCTCTGCCAAAGGCAGGACAGCGGCCTTTCAGGCAGATTCTGCTGCCTCCTCAATCTGAGACAAATTAAACTACTTTCCTTCTCAAACTCTGTTTCCTTTCATTGGCCAAGGGAATGGCGACTGGCGTGCGGGCATCACGCTGTCACCATCTTACCCAGCACGGAACTGGAAGTTCTGGTCAGCACAATACTGCAAAAAGAGAAAAGGTGTGTAGATGAGCAACCAAGAAATAAGACAGCCCTGCGTGCAAACACCACGATGGCCTGCACAGACAAAGCCCTACAGCCTACCCAGTGTGCCCCCGAACGGAGGAAAGGAGGCAGCTCAGCAAGGTTGTAGGTCAGCAGGCAAAATCACTTACCTGTCTGTATACGAGCAATAGATATGTGAAAGCTGGTGTTAAAAATATAATGTCCCTGGGCCTCCCTGGTGGCGCAAGGGGTTGAGCATCGCACTATGAGGCAGTCCGCAGCCTCTGCAGCACGAGTTTGAGCCCAGGCCGGCGAGGGAGCTACCCACATGGCGCAGCAGACCTCTCCTGTTGCACCCGCTGCTCCCCTCAGCAGTGTATTTCAGTCAGTCTGCCTGTTCTGTTCCCCACTCTGTCTCTGGTGAATCCTCTCACCCCCCGCATCTCTGGCCTGTACCCCAGCTCTTGTATGCATCAATAAATAAATCTTTAAAAAAATAGATATAATGTCCTTTATTACTGCTCCAAAGGTGGGGGGAGGGGTAGATTGAAATCTGCAAAACAGGTATAAGACTCACAACACTGATAAATGAAATCAAAGGAGAGTTACAGAAGTGAAGAGAGAGATCATGCTCATGGACTGGAAGATTCAGCAGTCAAGATGGCAAATCTCCCTCCGTTGGTAAACAGGCTGATTGTGAGTCCTCTCAAAATCCCAGCACGATCCCGCCCTGGAGAATGGCACGGTTATGCTAATACCCAGGTGGGCTAATGGGACATTTCAGTCCTGGCCACTCGGGCACTAAACCCTCAGCTTCCTCACTTCCATTGCTGAGTAGGTCCCTGCTCCTGGGGCGCCCGGGCCCCGGTCTCTGCTCAGCCCTTCCTCCTCCATTCCCTTCCTCCTTCCTTCCCTCCAGAGAGCCTGCCTTGACCTCTGCAGCAGACCGGGGAGGCTGGGATTTCCCCAGGATCCTTGGACCTGCCCAGCCTCGCCCCGAGCTGGCAGGGAGGGAGCTCAGAGCTGACAGGCAGAGACTGAAGAGAGGAAATTCCCCTAGAACCAGTTTCTCTGCTTCCTGACCCGGCCTGGGCGCCCACTGGAGGGACCGGCTGGAGGAAGCCTCGGCCTGCCATGGCCACAGTCCTGAACCCACCCCGGGTGCCCAAGCCCAAGAGCGCTCAGCCCTCACACTACCACGAGAGCTTCCTGGAGAAGAAGGGACCCCGAGACCGGGTAAGTCGGGACAGGGAGCCTGGCCTGCTGGGCACCCACGGGCAGGTGTGGCACCTCTCTGAGCCTTGATCTCTTCACCTGCTCAAGGGGCAAGGGGTGAGTTCGGGAGTCTGGGGAGGGCTCTGTCAACTGTCTGTCAGTCTCTCTCCAGCTCTGACTTGATCTTTCTCCATGTCTCTGCCTGCCCTGCCTGGCTCCCCATCTGTCTCTTGGTTTCAGTCCTTCTGTCTTGGTCCCTCTCTCTCAGATACAAACAGGGTTAGGGAGTTCCTCCAGGGGTTGGGGAGCCTTCTGACTCCCATGTCTCCTCTGTCCTAGCCCTCCCAGCTAACTGTGAACTTTAGCTGCAGGGGTAAAGGTCACGACATATAGCAGGTGGATACTGGTCGGGAGACCACTGCGTGTATGTGTGTGTGTGTGTGTGTGTGTGCGCCTGCGCGCGCATGCGTGTGCATTTGTCTTGCTCAGAATCAAGTCCCAGTCCCTTACTTCTCCCTTAGTTCTCCCTAAGTCCCTCCCTCCCCATGGCCCATATTCACCTGCCTTTGCCTTTCGGGTCCCTCCTTTCCCTCTGCCTCCATGCTCCCCAAACCTCCCCAGCCTAGAAAGCATTTAGAGGCAGATTCAGAGGTTTAGAACCACATGGAGGCCAGAGTGTGAGCCCCAGGTTCACGTGCTGCTCCCTGTCCCCCTGACTCCTGAGTATGCAAGCATCTCTCCAGCTATGTGCCTCCGTTTTCTCTGCTACAGAATAGGTAGAATGAGCTGTGTTCATAGTGACAGAAGATGGGTGGCTCTTACCTGGGGGTGGCAGTGCCTCAGGGCAAGCCCTCCACTTTTTTTTTTTTTTAAAGATTTATCTATCCATGCATACAAGAGCTGGGGTACAGGCCAGCGATGCGGTGGTTGAGAGGATTCACTAGAGACAGAGTGGGGAACAGAACAGGCAGATTGACCAAAATACACTGCTGAGGGGAGCAGCGGGCAAGACAGGAGCGGTCTGCTTCGCCGTGTGGGTTTCTCTCTGGCCGGCTGGGGATCGAACTTGTGCTGCAGAGGCTGGTGATTGCTTCATAGTGCGGTGCTTAACCCCTTGCACCAACCCACTTTATATGGGTTGATTCACCTGAGTCTCATGGGGGCCTTCGAAGCAAGCCCCATCGTTATTGCCATTTTAGAGTGGGGAAACTGAGGCACAGGGAATTAAATAACTTGTGCAATAGTACATGACTGGTGTGTGATGAAGCATGTGTGACTATCCTGGGTTTAATCACTGCCTGCGCTATCCCTGGTGTCTAGAACAGTACCTGGTACATGACAGCACCTCAGGAAATGTTAACTAAGTGGACGTAGATGTCTATGGATGTATCTGTGACCCTCAAATGGGTGGGTGTGTGGGTGTGGGGGTGGGTGAATGGATGGAGGAAGGGAGGGAGATACCCAGGAAGGGAGGGCCTGAGAAGACAACATTTGCTCAAAAACCCAAAAGCAGCTAGTGAAAGTGACTATGTGAAGATGAGGGGGAGGAGTCCCCCTCATGAGGGGGGTCCAGGCAGAGAGAAGGGCCAATGCAAAGGTCCTGAGGCAGGAGTCGTGCCGCCAGCCGTGCCTCCTCACCTCCCCCTTCCCCCGCCTCTGGTCTTTAGGATTACAAGAAGTTCTGGGCAGGTCTCCAGGGGCTCACCCTCTACTTCTACCACAGCAATCGGGACTTCCAGGTAAGGATGGAAACTCGGACTCAAGGGTTGGACCCAGGACTCTTGATCCAAGGGACTGAGGCGAGGGTAGGGGCTGAGTGGCTAAGTCAGATGATCCAGGAGTCTGACGCTCAGACCCCTGCTTCTGTGCCCCCAGCACGTGGAAAAGTTAGACCTAAGCACATTCGTGAAGCTCACAGATGAGGCTCCCTGGGGGAACCCCCAAGACTCTGGCATCCATTTCAGCGTCATCCTCTGGAACCAGGAGGTCAAGTTCAAGGTAAGTTCCTTGGTGGGACTGGAGGGACACCCTCTCCCCCCTTTGCGCCCACCATCCACACGCACTAGAATGGAGTCACAGTGTCTACCACTGGGCTGGTGAGATGGGGCAAGTCACTTAACCTCTCTGGGCCTCAGTTTCCTCAAGTGAAACAAAGGAAAACATGTGTAAGGAACCCAGAATGGACTCACAAGGATCATCACTGCCATTATTCACTTATTCAGCTAACACTATGGCGCACCCACTGTGTGCCAGACACAACTCTTCTAGTTGCACAGCAATAAACAAGACAATTAAAAATCCCTGCCTTTATGGAGTTTGCAATCTGGTAGAGGAGTTGCATAATAAACAGCACAAACGTGTGACATATAGAGTGTCCAGATGGCAGAGGCCTTCAGGAGACAGGTGCTAGGGAAAGGGACCATCAAAGTTACAATGTTCAATACTATCAGGAAAGGACTTATTGAGGACCCGGAGGAGGGGAGAGAGACAGCAGATTAGATTATCTGTGAATCAAGGAATCATATACAGGTGTCCAGGAAGAGGAAACAGCCTATGCAAAGGCCCTGGGGCAGACCAGACCTGACATGTTGGAGGAGCTGCGAGGATGCTGCACGGCTGGAGAGAGGGAGGGAGTGAGATGAGAGACCAGGGGATGCGACAGGGCCATGTCAGCGTGATGGCATCAAAGCACGGCAGCCCATCCACTGAGAACTTATACCAGACATCCTAAATTAAGCTGTCCTAATTCACTTCACCTTCAAAATGGCCCTCGGAAGCAGAGACTATTTATTATTCCTCATTCATTGGCGACATTGCCCCCCCTTTCTCTCCCTAGGTTGAAAGTCTGGAGTCTCGCGAGATGTGGAAAGGCTTCATCCTGACGGTGGTCGAGGTAAGAGTGGTCGCCCACTGCCTGCCTCTCTCCCACTGGGTGTCCTCAGAAATCCTCCTTTTTCTTTCTATCCTTCACTTCCCAAATGAATCTTTAGGCTTATAAGGCAAATGTAGCACATAAACATGCTTTAACAACTCAAGTATTAAAAAGATGAAAGTTGGGGCCTCCCTGGTGGAGCAAAGGGCTAAGTCGCAACACTCTGAAGCTACCTGTAGTGACTGCAGCACGAGTTCGATCCCCACCTGGCCAGGGGGCTACCCACATGGCGCAGCAGACCTCTCCTGTCTCACCCGCTGCTCCCCTCAGCAGTGTATTTCAATAGATCTGCCTGTTCTGCTCCCCACTCTCTCTGGTGAATCCTCTCACCCTCCACACCTCTGGCTTTCACCCCAGTTCTTGCATGCATAAATAAATAAATCATATATATATATATGTATATATATGACAGTTGCTGCCATAAGGAAAAAATCAGGAATTTTAGTCTACATTCCTGATTTATATTTTACTCATTTGATCCCTTCTGAGCACCCCCACCCCCAGGCCATTGAGTTGGGGACCTGCCTGGCTGCGCAGTCTGTAGCTTTTGAGGCCCTATATCTAACATGTACTCTGCCCAGCGCCCCATCACCGGAGTCTCTCCCACCCTCGCAAAGCCTTCTTTGCCCTGAGCTGTCAGGCAGGTACCCCAGACCCGATTTTCCATCCTGGCTCCCCGCGCTCTGGCCTCAGCTGGCCCCTCTGTGTCGCGGGCACAGCCACCCCCTTCCCTGACGCCCGGATCGCCCCTCAGCTCCGCGTGCCGTCCCACCTGACGCTGCTGCCTGGACACCTGTACATGATGGCCGAGGTCCTGTCCAAAGAGGAGGCTCGACGTGCCCTGGAGATGCCCCCGTAAGACCCGCCGCACCCCGGGGCCCCGGGTGGGGATGTGAGTGGAGTTTCCCGCTTCAGGCTGAGCACTAGGCTCAGTGCCGGCTTGGGCGGGGACGAGGCCTCTTGCGGGGAGCCCGAGTGGGTGTTCGGGCGGGGCTTAGGTGTCCAGGGGTGGGCCTGGGTGCCGGGAAACAGGGCGGGTTTTCCAGGGCGTGGCCTGGGGGCCGGGGCGGCCGGGCGGGGCCTCCGGGGCAGGGGTGTGCGGGGCGACCGGGCTACGCCTTCTGGAGGCGGAGCCTGGGTCTGGGGCGCGGCGGGATCTTCGGGGTGGGTGTGCCCGGGGGAACATGGCGGGGTCTCGGGGGCGGGGCCCGCCCCGACCAGGTGACTGCCCGCCAGGTGCTTCCTGAAGGTGAGCCGCCTGGAGGCACAGCTGCTCCTGGAGCGCTACCCCGAGTGCGGGAACCTGCTGCTGCGGCCCTGCGGGGACGGCGCGGGCGGCGTCTCGGTCACCACGCGACAGATGCTCAACGGGTGCGCGGGGGCGCCGGGAGCCGGGCGCGGGGGCGGGCGCGGGGGCGTGGCCACAGATGGGGGCGGGGTCCGCGGGGCCGGGGCGGGGCTTAGCCCGGGCCCGGCGCCCAGGGGGCGTGGTCTTCTGAAGCTGGCCCCGCCCAGAGGCGGAGCGTTCTATGCCCAACCCCTTGTGGGCGGGGCCGGGCTCGGGGGCGGGGCCGGGCGCTACAGGCGGATCAGACCCTGGGCTTGGGGACAGCCCGTCCGGTCCGAGTTAGACACCTGGGGCCAAATTCCGGGGTCCGAATTAGCCCTTCGGGAGGAATCACGACCTGTGGATGGAGCCACAGCACGCCGCCCCCTCCCCTGTGGCCAAAGCAGGCTCTGGAGGCAGAACCATGTCAGACACCAAATCCTCAGGGTCAGGGGCCGGGACCACCTCGAAGGTGGAGTGTGGGCAGATCTGGGGGCTTCCTGGGGTCAGAGAAACTCCCTCAGTCTTGCCAGAACCCGCAGTGGTCTGCAAGGGAGCTGGAGATTAGACTCCGTGGGGGTGGAGCGGGGACCAGCGCCGGGCCTTTCCCTACCTGAATCAGGCCACCCACTCGCCCCCTGCCCGCAGGGCGCCCGTGGTCCGGCACTACAAGGTGAAGCTCGAGGGCCCCAATTATGTGATTGACGTGGAGGAGCCGGTGAGCGTTGGGCCGGGGCCCCCGGGAGCACGGTGGCAGGTTCCATGTCCCGTCCCCACCAACCCTGATGGAGCCCCACTCGCCCACAGTTCTCCTGCCCCTCACTGGATGCAGTGGTCAACTATTTCGTGTGGAACACCAAAAGGGCGCTGGTGCCCTTCCTGTTGGACGAGGACTATGAGAAGGTGCTAGGTAGGTGCTGCCTCCAGAATTTAAGGAGCTCTGTTGGTGCCTCTCTTGGACCTGCTCCCTACAGAGTCGCCTCCGGGTCAGCCCCTGGCGGCTGCACCGTCTCCAGCCCACCCTCTCTGTTCCAGGCTATGTGGAGGCGAATAAAGAGAATGGCGAAAGTGTGTGGGTGGCACCCGTTGTCCCTGCGACCCCTAACCCAGGTGATGCCCCTTCCCTACAACCGCCACTGGGCAAGAGTTGGGGGAGACCTAGGACATGTAGCCACATCCCCCTCCCCGCTGCACGTACCCTATCTTGTACCCAGAGTTTCAAGGACTCAGAAGTTATCCAGGCCCTGCTCTAGAGGGCTTGGTGATCATGGAGAGGGGCGACGGAGCTTGACTCCGACACTCCCAGTCCTGGGGAGTCCTACCTGGGGAGATGCTTAAGGTTAGTGAGAAGAGGTGACAGAGTTGAAGAAAGGCTTCCTGGAGGAAGAGATGTTTACTGAAGGTCTCAAAGGAATTTAGTAGATAGAGATGAGCTTTGTGGGGATACCTGGAGCAAGAACTACTCAGAGATGAGAAATCAGGGTGAATGGTGGGAGAACAGGAGAGCAAGAGGCTGGGAAGGTCTAAGAGGTGAGCTGTATGATCCTGCCTGGGCTGGCACATCATGGAGCACTTGGCATACATGGAGCACTTGTCTGGACATGCATGAACTGTATCACCACTTGTGTAGCCAGAGCTCATATATGGAAATCTCAATAGACACATGCATGAATACATGAGCCACACCATTCCAGGCCTGTTTTGCACACATATATACATATTTTAAGCCACATAATAGACACGAATGCAGACATTTATAGACATATGCACTAATACAGACCCAAGCATGTACCTTAGCCTCCATGCAGTGTCATGCATGTATGCACATATTTACATAGAATCCGTGTATGCAGATTCATCCATTGCACATGTTTATGCCACACAGGGACATAAACACAGACTTAGCAACAGGCACTTGTGCAGACACACATGCATAGGGACATAGGCACAAGGCTCACCCTGAGATGTCCCCACAGCATGCCCCCACAGCCCTGATGGTCACCAATTTCCCAACAGGCCCTCCAACCCCTGCAGCTGGTCCCAGGCAGCTGCTTCCTGCAGCCACTGTGACAGGCCAGGACAACCTGCCACCTTTACCTCCCCTGCCCCCGCTACTGAGCCAGGATGAGGATGACAACTACGTGATCCCCATTGGAGATGCCCCAGATGTCAACTATGAGAATGGAGATGGTGAGTAGGAAACTGGTGGGAGCAGCTGAGATATGGGGGTGGGGGGAGCAGGTTAACATCTGGATGTGACCCACCACACCTTTGTCCATGCAGTACTTTCCTTGAGTCAACTGGTCATCACGAAACCCAAGAAATTGGCAAAGGCTCAGGCAAAGCTTCCAAAGCCACCCATTGTGCCCAAGCCAGGTAGGGGTCCCTCCTCCCCAGTCCCTCCCTGCCTCATCCAGTGAAGGGCCGGCCCCAGCCTTCATCTCTTTTCTCCTCCAGAGCCCAGAGGTGACCAGGCCCGGAAGCAGGCCGTCAGCTCACCACAGGCTTTCTTGCCCACAACAAGTAAGGGGTCTGTGGGGACCATCCAGGGGGTGTGCGATTGCACAAGTCTCCACACTCCAAGGGGCTGTGTTCAGAAGGTGCTAGAGCTTTGGCTAATGCTCTGCTTTGTCCATTTTGATATGCCTTGTGCCTTTCAAACACATTTTCATTTAGTAATGGGCCTTGCAACGTCTGTAGCCAATTCTGGTGGATGTTGGGGAGGGACAACATGGACTGGGGATCCTGGTACAACTGAAGCCTTGTGTACCCACCCCCAGGGCTGGCAGATGTGACAGCAGAGCTGGAAGAGAAGCTACAGAGGAGGCGGGCACTGGAGCACTTGTCTGGACATGCTGGGGACCAATGAGCCAGTCTCGGGGTACAGTTTGGCAGTCAAGACGGATCCTTCAGAATTAAAGCTCAAGTGACCCCAAGACCTACACATTTGGCTTGGCTTCAGGGCTGAGGTTGTTAAGGGGTCTGTTGGATGCCTGCCTATAGCTGGTCCCCTGCACTTCCAATGGTCCTCAGCTCCGCCGGCCTGCCACCTGACCCTGCAAGAAAAGCCCATTTTACAGCCGGGAAAGTGGAGATCCACAGAACGCCGGGACATACCATGTCCCAAAGAACCAGCAATGAAGCCTGGCCAGTGTTTGACCTTTATTAGGAGGCAAGGTGGGGAGGAGGACCCACCCAGGTGCCTGCTTCCTGCTGGTGACCACCCATCAGGAATTAAGGCTCCAAGCAGTGAGAAGAGGGTGTCAGGCTAAAACAGCCAATGCCTGGTGGCGGCTCCCAAACCAGCCCTGCTGGGTGGGCAGTCCAGTGTCTAGGTGAGGCTAGTGTTGGAGCTGCTGGTGGCACTGCCCCGCTTCTGAAGGCAGCGCACAGAACTGGGGACCTGCAGGCCTGTTGTCACCTGGAAGCTGCCACACCACACCTGGGGACAGAAGGGGAGCAGGGAGACTCAGCACCAAAGCCAGCCCCAGTCCCACCACCACCCCACCCCGGGCCATGGAGTGGGGTCTTACCGTAAAAGCAGGCAGCAGTGGCTGTGTAAACTTGGCCTTAAAGGTGTGCAGCAGCTGTTTTGTGCGGGCATTGTAGAAGGACAAAAGACCTGGGGCAGAAGGCAGATTGACCAGGGGATAGTAAGAGGGATGTGCGGGGCTTCCATCAGTGCCACCACCACGACGGCCTGAGTTCGGTCCCCGGCCAGGAAGCTAAACACATGGCGCAGCAGACCTCTCCTGTCTCCCCGCTGCTCCCCTCAGCAGTGTATTTCAGTCAGTCTGCCTGTTCTGCTCCCCACTCTGTCTCTGGTGAATCCTCTCACCCCCGACACCTCTGGCCTGTACCTAAGTTCTTGTATGCATAAATAAATTAAACTCTTACAATAAAGGAATAATTCTTTAAAAAGAAAAAAAGAAGAGGGGCTTGCAGCACAGAGACCGGGTGGCAGAGATGGCTGGAATGCCAGCTGGGGCTTGGGGTTACCTTGGTGAAAGTCGCAGTGCACGCCCAGGCAGTCAGGCACGGGGGCGTCCAGCACCTTAGCCTTGTTTGAATGCTTGGCGGTGAAGCTGACCTGCAGCCAGTTGTTGACATGCAGACACCAGGAAGCTGCTGTCTTGCCCAGCTGCTCGAAGCGCCCCAGACTGCGGTAGGCCACCCCAACGCCGAACGCCTTGCTGTCAGGCTCGTAGCGCACCTCCCAGTAATGTTCCCCGCCATCAATCAGCGTGTCCCCTGTGGGGCGGGGTGGGCAGTAGGGACTGGATAGAACCAGCCCCCGATGCTCTTCCACAAAGGGGCAGCCACCCTGGTGGTCCCCAAACTAGATACTCCACGAGACCAGCGATTCCTTCCAGGTATTCCCCAGGCTGCAACAACTCCTCCAGACACTCCCCAAGCATCTACTAGGCCTCTCAGTGTCTACGGGCCTGAGATAATTCTTCAAGATACATCTGGGCCCTAAGAAATGTCTTCCAGTTTCTCACTGAGATACTTCTCAGTCCTCAATTCTTCCCAGACTAGACAAGCCCCAAACCTCTGCTCCTGACAGACCCAGATCACAGCTCAGCTCCACCTGGTATCCCTGCTCCTCCCCAGATAAAGGACTAAGTCCCATACACATTTCGCTCCTCTCTGACTCAGCTAGTCCCCCAACCACAAACTGCCTAGTCTCCTTCCCCGCAGTTAGATGTCTTCCTCACAACTCCTGGCCACCCTGCAGACACCCTCTTTACTATACCTTCAGATCTTTCCTCGGCAAACCCAACTCTCACCAATCCTAGAAGCTTTCCAGAAAACCCAAGTCTTCTAAGAATCTTAAGTTCTCCTCAAGCTTAGCTTATTTTCAGAACCCAGCTACTCCCAACTTCCCCTTCTCTCCCAGGTCCCACCATCCACATGGATTTCCTCATACCCCAGTCTCTTTTTCCAGCCCTTTTCTGGACAGTAGTGATTCTTTAAACTCCAGTTTCTTCATGAACTCCAGCTTTTCCTTCACGGGATCCAACCACTCCTGCAGTGCTAACCCTCCTGCAATTCTAGTTCTTCTCTCGACTTGTCCAACACCAGCTACTCTCTCTGGCTTCCACACACACCCTAAGCCACTGCCCCAAACCTCTGCCTGCCTTCTGCTCCCCCACAAACCCCCCAACCGTAAGTAACTTTTTTCTCAGCTACTCCCCAAATTTCAGCTATTCCCCAAATACCAGCTACTCCACGATGCCAAGAAATCCCCCTTGAGCTCCGACCTGACCACTCCCAGTCCGGGGCCTCTTTCCTTAGCCCTCTAAGCTCTGGGTCACCTCAGTAATTCACCAGGCCCAAGTCCTGTCCCATCGCCACAGTACCACGTGCTGTTGCACCATCTCTGGAGACACTCTACTTGTGGCTCTCTCGGTGTCCCCAGCAGAAGGCGTGCTCGCCCGCCTGCACCATCAGGGCCCTGCCTGGGGTCCCTCTCTCTTCCCAGTTCCCCCTCCTTACCCAGCACCGTGTAGGACTCAGCTGTGAAGCGGTCCCGTCCGCCGCGACCTGAGGGCATCCGCTTGGGTGATGGAGTGCCTCTGGGGGCGGCAGGGCGGGAAGGAGAAGACAGGTCAGGCCTGACCTCCCCACAGGAGGACTTCCCTGGCCCCCTCCCCTCCCCCCAGCCACCTTGGTAGCTGGTACTTTCCATAAACTGGGCCCGTCATGTCGGACCTGGCCTGTGTCCTTCCTCATCTGGAAAATTCTTTTTTTTTTTTTAAATGGAAAATTCTTATTAGACCATTAAAAGGAAGTTCAATGTCACTTCTCCCTTCATTTTTTCTGTGGGTTCCTCCAGTCCTGTTTCCCACCTTGCACCCCACCTTGACTATACTGGGCTCCATTATGTGTTCACGCCCAGCCTAAGGACCTGGCGGGGAGAGGGCAGGTTACCTTGCCGGGGAGTTGACAGGAGACGCTGTCCGCCCTTTGTTATCTTTCTTGATATCTTGCACCTTCCCGCCCATGGCGTCCCACTCCACGGAGAGCTCATCCACCCGCAGGTTCTGGTGGGATGTGGACGCATCCAGGCGGAATATGAATGCTAGGGCCGGGCAGATGCGGGAGTCACAGAGATGGGGAAACCCAGAGGAATATAGAGACAAAGACAGACAGTGACCAAGACAGACCGAAACAGGGACAGAGAACAGGAAGAGGCAAAGAAACAGAGACGCAGTGAGTGAGACAGACAGGGACGAAAGCTCAGAGGCAGAGACACAAGGAGACGGGCAGAGGCACCGAGAGAGGCAAGACGGGGAACAGTGGCGGGAGCAGAGCATGTGTGAAGGCCGAGGACTTGCTGCCTACAGGTCTCCCAGGCCTGGAAATAGTCTCAAACCGTTCACGCTCCCCTGGGCTTCCACTGGGGATTAAGTCCAGGAAAGCGGAGGGCTCCAGCAAGACGGAGTTAGGCTAGACTGCAGGAGGGTCTCCTAGGACACGCAAAACTGTCACTGACACCTCATCTCCAGCTCTACAGAGTACTTCCTATTTTCTGGAATCGAGTAAGAGAGTATAAAGCTATCTAAAGAGTATAAAACTAGGTACATTGGGATCAACTGCAAAAGCAAAGGACAAAAACAGATTTATACCAGACACTCAAGCTAAAGAATAGTATGAACTGAGCTCTGAGCTTCCTAGAAGCCAAGGCAAAAAGAGTCACAGAACCCTGATTACAGGATTTTTTTTTACACACTGGTTCCAAGCTGGGGATTGGGGGGTATGGGAGAAGGTGTTATGGAGTCACAGCCAGAGTGGGTGTGGGAGCCAGTCACCTGGTGTCTCTAGGGTCACCGGCTCGGAGAATTCGCCTGAAACTGCTTTGTTGCAGGCCTTTACCCGGAAATTCATGTATCTCATGTCAAACTTGAGACCTGGGAGGGAACAGAGGGATCTCAACAATGTGCACACTCTGAGCAACAAGTTAGAGCCCCACAGTAATCCCACCATCCCTCATTCTAAGGAGCACCTGGCCAACGACACCTTTTTTTTATATATAAAGAAATTTTAGTTCTTTCAACAGCTTGTGGGATCATTTTTTAAAAAGATTTATTTATACATATAAGAACTAGGGTACAGGCCAGAGTTGCTGGGGGGTGAGAGGATTCACCAGAGACAGAGTGGGGAACAGAACAGGCAGGCTGACTGAAATACTCTGCTGAGGGGAGCAGTGGGCGAGACAGGAGAGGTCTGCCGTGCCATGTGGGTAACTCCCTGGCTGGCCAGGGATCAAACTCATGCTGCAGAGGCTGTGGACAGCTTCACAGCGCTGTGCTCAACCCCCTGCACCACCAGGGAGGCCCGCCAAAGACATCTTATTCCTGAAAAACCATTCTTGGTCTACACTCACCTGCAGGACTACGGATTATTTTGTTCTGCCCCCCAACCCTAACTGGTAAAACTAGGTGCTTTATGACCCAGGCACAGTGATTGGCTCAGATATAGGCACATGACCCAGACCAGCCAATCAGCATCTGCCCTGGAACTTAGGCTGATATATTTGGCAATCTTCTAAACCATGGATGACCTTGAGTATATTGTGCTTAGTAAAAGAAGTCAGGCACAAAAGACACACGCTATACGGGCCCACTGATATAAGGTCCCTAGGAGTCAAATCCCTGGAGACTGGTGGGTGCCAGGGGCTTGGGGGAGGGCACGAGGACTTAGTGCATCCAGGGGACAAAGTCAGTTGAGAAGATGAAAAGGGCTCTGGAGACAGACGATGGGGACAATTGCACAACATTATGAACATATTTAACATCACTGAACCGTATACTTAGAAATGGTTAAGTTAGTAAATGTTATATTATGTGTATTTTATTGCAATTAAAAAAAAGATTGAAAAAAATGGGGTGTGTTTATTTTGTTTGCCAGGCAAAGGATAAACCAATTGCTACTCAGGCCCACTAGCAGGCTGGTGGCTTTTCTTTGCTGCAATTAGCATGCTCATTAACCATGTAGGCTAATTACAGATAAGGAACAGGCTAATTACAGCCCAAGAGCTCTAGTAATAGTTATCTTGTCAGCAAGGCTCTCCCCGCCCCCGAGGGTGTCCCCTGGTTCAGGATGCCTTTTTAAACTCATTAGGGATCCCCGATTTTGCCCTCCTTCAGGTCCTCCCCTACCAGCTATGTGGGTTCCCCAGGCTTTTTGCTTTCCTGTAACTGCCAAAGACCCTCCAAGCCCTGGGAGGGTGGCCTGGAATGCCAGCCCCACGAGGGGACAGGCTTTTTGTTCCCTTTGCTCATGAAGGACAGTGCCTGGTATACTGTGGGCACACGACAAATGAGAATGAATGTATGAATGAACAAACGAATGAATGAACGAATGAATGCTGAGTAGCAGAGATGGGAGGTGGGTGGAGGGTGTCACCTCTCCCGTGCCTGGTCTGCAAAATGGTGACGACAAGCAAGCGCATTACATACAGGTAAAGTGCTTAGCACACAGGGAGCCCTCTACAAAAGAGCCCGTGGTCGTCATCAACACCGTCCTCATTATTATATTTTGCAACTCCTGATGAGCCCAGCCATGCTCTCTCACACCCCATGAGCTCTGGGGATTGTCTATGGCCCCAAGCTCATAGGGAAAGTGGGTGCCCTGAGGGGCTGAGCTGCCAGGCAGTCGGCAGGGGCGGCCTCACCTGTCAGTGTGTACTCTGTCTGCCGGATGCCCTCGATGACCATCCAAGGGTGTTCCTCCTTGAGGCGGGGCGGGCCCTCAAAGTTCGTGCGTCGGTACTCCAGCACGTAGTGGTCAATCTTGCTGTCCTCGTCCGGCATGCGCCACACCAGGGTCACGCAGTTGTCTGCCACCAAGGACTCGGCCAGGTCAATCACCGGGGCGCTGGGCACTGCCCACGATCAAGTAGAGAGGAGAGTCAGGGTCCTGAGAACTTGGGGTTGGGGTTCAGCTGGAGGCTTGCCCACAGGTCAGGTGTCCTTGGGGAGGGCCTCCGGACTGGCCTCCTTAGAGGCCACATTTAGGGGCCCAGCTTTTGCAGGATCTAGTGGTGGATCCTCCTCAGGGTTCTTCCAAGGGGTGGGGGCATAAGACAGAGTGTTCAAGGCTCCACCAACAAGGGGCTGGCCTTCTTGGCATTCACCTTTAGAGGCAGAACTTTTTCAGAGTTCCTTACCACTTGGTGTGGGCTGGCTTGGGGGAGGGGAGTGTGGGTTGGGAATCCTCAGAGCTCCACCTGGGGGATGTGGCCTCCTCCTCCAGGCACCACAAGAGCTGGCCATCCTTGGGGCTCCATCCCTGGGGCTCTCTCAGGCCATCCCAAACTTTGGAGCCACTCCCCCCAAATCCTGGCCCTCTGGTGAGTTCCACTCTCACCTGGAAGGAACTTGAGAGATTGCAGCATCCGCCGCTCCTGCGCAAAGTCCACCATGAGGTGACTCATGTTGTCACTGACCTTAGCTTTCAACGACAGGCGGAAGGCAGGGGCCATCGTCACTCTGCAAGGAAGGAGGTGGAGGCAGTCTGCTGGCAGGCATGGGGGAGGGGGGCTTAAGCCTGGTCCTCCGGGGTCTGTGTGGGGTCCCCTCCCTCTTGTTCTAGTCCACTGCTCTGGGTCAAGGGGCCCTCACCTGGGTGTCCCCACCTTCACACCAGAGGCGGGGCAATAGGGTGGGTGCCAGATCCCAGCATCTTACCCATCTTTGATTTGCTTGGCAGCCTAGAAAGCGGAACAGAATAAAATTCAGAGTAGTCGCAACTGAATCAGAAAGGCACTGTGCAGAGACTGAGGCCCAGTGTGGTCACCATTTGCCAAAGTACCCCAGCATTGCAGCAGGAACCCTAGAGTTTCTTTTTTTTTTTTTTTTTTTATTTTTTAGAGGCATGCTTTATTTATTTTATTTTTTGTTTGTTTTGTTTATACATGCACTGGGTACAGTCAGAAGCGTGGGAGGGTGAGAGAATTCACCAGAGCCAGAGCGGGGAGCAGAGCAGACAGAAGGACTGAAGTACACTGCTGAGGGGAGCAGTGGGCGGCAGGAGAGGTCTGCGCGCCATGTGGGACCCTCCTCAGGTGGCCGGGGAGCAGCCGGGGATCGAACCGGCGCTGCAGAGGCTGAGCGCAGCTTCGTAACCCAGCGCTCAACCGCTGCGCCACCGGGGAGGCCCAGAACCCTAGAGTTTCTTATCCCTTGACAAAGACAGATTCCAACCCCCACTCCATCTCGTGACCAGTGCCCGGTACATACCATCAGCAGATTTCCACCCGCCCCCTCCCCCAAATACAGGATGTCCAGTTAAATTTGTACTTCAGATGAGCAATAAATATATTTTTAGCATAAATATGTTGCATCCAAGATTTGGGATACACTTATACTAAACATTTCCATGGGATATACTTATACTAGAAAACTAGTCATTGTTAAATTTGAGTTTCAGATAAATAATAAATAATCCTTAGCATAAGTATATCCCATCAAAGATGTGGGATATACTTACACTAAATAGTTGCATGAAATATATTTACACAAATTATTCATTGTTGCATTTGCATACTAGGTTGACAATAAATGATTATTTAGTTTAAGTATGTCCTAACCTAAACATATGCATGGAGTATATTTATACTAAAAAATTATTTATTGCTAAATTTGAATTTCAGATCAACGAATAATTTTTTTTTTTAAAGATTTTTTTTTTTAATAGAGGCATGTTTTATTTCTTTCTTTCTTTCTTTGTTTGTTTGTTTGTTTATACATGCACTGGGTACAGTCAGAAGCACGGGAGGGTGAGAGAATTCACCAGAGCCAGATCGGGAAGCAGAGCAGGCAGAAGGACCGAAGTACACTGCTGAGGGGAGCAGCGGGCGGCAGGAGAGGTCTGCGCGCCATGTGGGACCCTCCTCTGGTGGCTGGGGAGCAGCCGGGGATCGAACCGGCGCCGCAGAGGCCGCGGGCAGCTTCGCAACCCAGCGCTCAACCGCTGCGCCACCGGGGAGGCCCAACGAATAATTTTTTTTTAAGTAAAAGTATGTCCATGTAGGGCCTCCCCAGTGGCGCAGCAGTTAAGCGCTGGGTTGCGAGGCTGCCCGAGACCTCTGCAGCGCCGGTTCGATCCCCGGCTGCGCCCCGGCCACCGGAGGAGGGTCCCACATGGTGCGCAGACCTCTCCTGTCGCCCGCTGCTCCCCTGAGCAGTGTGCTTCGGTCCTTCTGCCTGCTCTGCTCCCCGCTCTGGCTCTGGTGAATTCTCTCACCCTCCCGCCCTTCTGACTGTACCCAGTGCATGTATAAATAAATAAATAAAATTTAAAAAAAAAAGTATGTCCATGTAATCTTTGAGATAAAATTATATTAAATATTGCATTGGATATACTTATGCTAAAAAATTACTACTGCTTCCAAGGCACCCACCTGAGGAAAGTCCTCACTTTCTGTGGCCTGCAGAGTCTGGTTGGCTGTCTCGAGCAGCTCTTCTGAACTCTCCAGGGCGCGTGTGCAGGCCGCCAACTGGTTCTGTGGGTGGCATGGCACCAAAGGAGTGGACACCTCATCCCACAGCATTAAACCCTCCCAGGGCTCCCCACTAGCTTCAGGACCCAGGACCATGACTTTCTCAGACTCTATGTGGGAGGAGGAGGAGGCTGGAGGATGGTAGGGTCTTGCTCCTGAGAGTGTATCAGAACCACCTGGAGGTCCTGTCCTTAAAAACTCACATGGTTAAGTTCACACCCGAGAGCTCGGGTGCCACATCCCCAGGGATGGGAATCTAGGACGTTAGGAAGTTGCTGGGGAGGTTGAAGTCAGAGGAAAGGACTGAGAAGTTGGAGATTCTGGGTGAGGAGGAGGGGGAGGGCAGCCAGATGTAGGGGTGGGGCAGTGGTAATGGAGAAGAGAGGATTATGAGGGAGATCTGGTGGGTGGGGTACTGATGAATCAGCAAGGGGGCAGGGAAGAGAACAAAGAAAAGGGAAGGTGAGGTCTACACTATCAGGGTACCTGGCTCTGGGCACTAGAGAGTCACTTGGGGGCATCTCCGAGAAGGAGTAGGTTTGAAGGGAGAAGCCAAGACAAGCAGGGCTGTATGGATTCTGAGGGTCATGGTGGGGGGACGGCATCTGGACAGGTATCCAGGAGAGCCCCCCAGACACACCTGCAGCTCGTAGGTGCGACTGGCACGGTCCTGCTTTATCTTCATGAGCATGCCCTCCTTCAGCTCCTCCAGGAGGGAAAAAAGGGACTGGAACTCTGACTCCAGGTCCTCCTGCACCTTGGCCGAGTTTGCCTTGAGGAGATGTTGCAGGGTGAGAATGGCCAGCACTGGGTCCAGGCAGGCACACTACTCCACGGGCATGAACTGCAGCAGGTTAGCTCCTATGGTTGCCCACTCCCTCCCTTCCACTCACCTGGCCAAGACTTCCCACCTCCCTCTTTGGGGTGGTGGAGGGGGTGTCTTGCTCACCTCCACATTCAACAGCATCTGCTTGAGGGAGTAGATAAAGCTCTGAATCTCTTCATTCTTCACAGCCAGGGTGGTGATGATCTTCCGAAGAGCCTCCTGTCCCCACGGGAAGCAAGGCACACATGGCAGGTACGCCCCTTAGCCTGGCAAGGATTCCCCTGGGACTCCCCACTCTGCCACTCAGAGATTCAGAGAGGAGGTGTAAGGGCCACTGTGCCAAAGAGCTTGGGCACCTGCTGCAAGGTAGATCCTGGGGGAAGCTCTGGCCCTGAATCCCCTCACCTGGGATACCAAGAAGCCCATTTTATAGGGCAGGAAACAGGTTCAGAGCGAGCCTCTCCAGAAGTGACACACCCTGGCCTGGAGCTCAGTCGGCCTCCAGGTACTGGCACCCTGAGGGTGGGGCACAGGCTGCGGTGAGGGGCTAGCTAGCTTGGGGAGAGCAAACCCCAGAGGAAAATGTCTGCAGAAAATGAGCTAATCTGGGGAAGGGGATGCCTTGGGGAAAGGGATCATTAGCAAAGAGAAAAGGGGAACCAGAGGAAAGCGGGTGCCAGAGAGCCCAGGTAAGCAGGAGAGGACTGTCTGGGGAAGGGGATGCGGACCCTGGGGGCGCAGGGTCGGTGGGGTCACTTGTGCTGAGGTTGGGCGTCCTCGGGGACTGGGGGCCCCAGACACCTGGTCCGCAGTGTGGATGCAGGAGCGGGGTGGGGCTGGCGAGGGTGGGAAGCGTGGAAGGGATGCGCCAGGATTCAGGCCCCGATGAGAAGGTCGGCGCGGGGCAAGTGGGGGCTGCGTCCAGAAAGGGGGAGGCCACATGGGGCCGGTGGGGCCTCGCCCAGAGCAGCTGGCGGGGGGCAGCAAGGGCGCTGCGGCACCCCCTGGTCCCGTTCCCGCCCCCCAAGGACCCCGCCCCGCCCGCGCCTGTCGTACCCTCTGGTCCTCCATGGCTGCAGCCCAGGTGGTCCCCGACCAGGCCCGCGGGCGCGCGAGGTCTCCCCGTCCCAGAGCTGCCCTTGCCAACGCCGGGAGCCAATGGCCCACGAGCCTCAGCTGCCGCCGCAGGGGCCCCGGCGCCCCCGGTCAGCGCTCCATCACTGGCCCCAGCGCGCAGGCGCGCCGGCCGCGGCATGCCGGGAAATGTAGTCCTGCCCCGGAGTCGCCACCCGCTGTGACCCGAGTCTGGGAACTATCAGGTTGTGATGTCTGAGCTGGAGAGAGAGAGCCTGAAGCTGACAGACTAATTACCTGGGCTTTAGAACCCCAGTCCTAACCTTGAACCCATCTCCAGTTCTCTGGGTGCCATAGTGCCCCGGCTTGTTCGCCTAGGCGGTTATTCAAACTGGAATTCTATCCCACCATACCCCACCCCCAATACCTGGCACCTGAAAAACCAAGACCTTTGCCCAAGCTAATGTTCAGCCTCCAATGGCTTCTTTCCCTCCTCGCATCCCAATCGAACCCCTATACATCTCACAAAGCCCCAAGCTCAAATATCTCTAGAAGCCTGCCAGACTAGTATTCACGTTGCTAGGGATGTCTGTGTCCAGCTCTGTCTTTTCTGGTGCTGAATCGATTCAGTATTTCCTTCGTTGCCACTTGGCAGAGGGTGGGGGGAAATGTGGGCCTTCAGAAAGTCCAAAGGAGGCGGAAGGACTAGCAGGCAAGTGTGTGTGTGTTGGGGTTATGTGGGCAGAGCACCACCACACAGGCCTCCCGTGGTTGAACAGAGCAGTTCCGCGAAGGACCAGGCCTCCTTCTATCTGAGTGAGAAAGGAGGTCATGCTGTGGTCGGAGGTGTGAGACAGGAGTCCTCCCCCTCCTGCCTCGGGATGACAGACACAGTGCTGGAGATGGTGAACCCCCTCGAAGACTCCAGATACTACAACCCCCCTCAACTGAACCCCCAAACTTCTCTCTGTGGGGGTCAGGGAAACCCTTACATCTGTCTCTGAAACTCAAAGGAAGACATTTTTGGATGAAATAACTGAGGCTGGGATTCTCCTGTTCAGTCCGCCCCTCAGACTTCAGCTGCTGTGACCCTCCCTCACCTGTGTCACCTGTCTTTCCATGGTGTCCTCCTAGCCTAGGGGTGTTTGTGTAGAATTTTCCAGAAAGAGTTTACTTACTGGGATACATTACCCCCACCCACACATGCAAACTACCTTTCAGATTTAAAACAACACAACTTTGGGGAAACTGAGGCACAAGGTGGAGGAGGTGGAGGCCCAAGCAACACTGGCCACAAGATGTCTTCCGCCTGGTGTGTCTCACCCCCCTGTCACTTCTGCCTCTGTGGTGGGGGCGGAGTTGTGGTGGGGGCAGGAAGTCTGTCGAATGGGGAGGGGGGGAAGGAGGAAGGTGCGCCAATTGGGAGAGGGGGGCCTATAGGGCCAGGGATGGGGTCTCCGGGCATGGTGCTGGTGCTCCTGGCGCAGTTTTGGGGTGAGTACCTGGACCTTCCCCCGTGCCTCTCCTTTTGTCCGTCACCCCAGCTGCCGGCCCCTCCCGCTAGAGCCCCTCTAAACGTGAGTTTTCCGCTTTGCTAAATAGGACCAGTCCTTTGAAATGCAGAACCTCAGGAGGTTCAAACGGCATTTTATTCCACAGGATGAAATTCAAACCATGACTTGTACACCAGTCTTTTGTGGCCCGATTCCTCTGGCCTCTCTCGTCTCTGCCTCCTCTAAATTTCCTTTCTCCCCGTGTTTGGCCAGCTGGCTTTCCTTTCTTTTCTCTTTTTGTAATATACCAAGTTTGAGTCCACCTCTGGGCCTTTGCTCCTGCTGTTCCCTCTGTTTGGAACACGCTTCCTCTAGCATCAGCTGCAATTGCATCTCCAATGACAGGAATTTCATGCAAACCCTTTTCCTCTGAGGGATCCACCAGGCATTTCAGACTTCTTTTGGCCAAAAGCAAACTCTTTCTACTCAACCTCGCATTGTCCCCCATCTGGATCACAAGCCACCACCCAGGCACACAGTCCCTCGGGTTCAGACCTTGGGAAAATACCACCATCCCTCTGTCCCGCTCACCAATTCCAGGCTTCGTGCAGGTCTCCTGGGGCCCCCTCCACGGGTAGTCTGACCACCTCTCTCCTTGGCCCGGTCCCCACTACGGCTCAACTAGAATCTCACCTCCTGACACACCCCCACCCTCACTTTAAAGTGGGTTCTCACCACGGCAGTTAGGATGAAGGGTCTAGACAGGGCAGGGAAGAGCACAAGGGACTATGGGGATGGTTCCCAGGTGACAAGGTGGCAGGAGAACTGTGGGGACTATGTCTGAGGGGAGAAACGAATTACTGCACAAAAATGAATGACGACGTAAGGAAAAAAACCACCTCAATCGGCCCATGTTTCCTCCCTGGTTTCCCATCACACGCAGATAAGTAGCAAATGCCCTCCTTTCCCCACGCCCACGACACCCATCTGTGTGGCCGACAAGGCTTGTACAAGCCGCCCCTTGCTGACCTTTCTGATTCTCCCTCCTCTGCTCTCCTGGATACTTCTATAGGCCTCCTCTTTGTTCCTCCAATAAGCCAGGTTTGGTGCTGCCTCAGGGTCTTTGCATGAGCTATTCCCTCAGCTTAGAATGCTGTTCCTTCCCACGACTGGTTACTACTTATCATTCAAATCCTTGCTTAGATGTCACTTCCTTCGAGAAGCCTTCCCTGACCACTCTGGATAAGTAGATTCTTCCTCATTCATCCTTTCTTCTATTGCCACCCTCCGTTCCTTTCCTCCATGGCGATTCTCATTTCACGACTTCCTGTGGATGTCTCTCTTCCCAGGCTGTCAGTTTCAGCAGAGTTTTTTCCTATTTTACTCACATCTGTGTCTGGGTCCATGGTGGCCAGAACAGGGCCTGGTATCTACAACGTGATATGTGTATGGTGGAGAGCTGGACATGTCGTGGAGTGCAGAGAGTTAGACCCACGTCCCAGATCAGGGTATTGAGCTTCAGCGAGAAGTCACCTTGCAAAGACTCAGGCAAGCTGAGTCCCCCAGCAATGCAGGCGTGCTAGGAGAGTAAGTCACACACATGGGCATTCTGAGAAAGTCCTCACCTGCCTCTGTCCCCTAGACCTGCAAGGAGCCACAGGCCTGAATGTGCAGCAGCAAGGACCCAAGCTGCTAGTGGTGACGCCAGGCAGCCAGGTGACCCTGACCTGCCATGTGACCCACACCGAGGCTTGGGAGAAGATCCGTGCTACGTGGACCAAGGACAATGTTACCTTGTGCCAGTCACTCATCGCCCATAACAGCACAGAGCAGGTCTGTGGGCTCGGGGGACAGTTCTCCTGGCAGCTGCCTGACAAACTCACCCTGCGGTTGGAGCACGTGAACGTCAATGACAGCGGGCATTACGTGTGCAGGGCGACCTTGGAGATACCCCTTTTAGAGGAGGCCAAGGGCCGTGGCACGGAGCTCCGGGTGGAGACAGGTATGAGAGCAAATGAGGAGAGAAGCTGGGGAGTTAGAACCTTCCAGAATCTTAAGACTCTAGAATCTCAAACTCCTAGAAACCTATGTTAAATTCTTCAAATCCGATTTTTTTTTAAAGATTTATTTATTTATTTATGCAAGCACTGGGTACAGTCAGAATCGCGGGAGAGTGAGAGGATTCACCAGAGCCAGAGCGGGGAACAGAGCAGGCAGACGGACGAAATACACTGCTGAGGGGAGCAGCGGGCGGCAAGAGAGGTCTGCGCGTCATGTGGGACCCTCGCCAGGTGGCCGGGGATCGAACCAGTGCTGCAGAGACTGCGGGCAGCTTCGCAGCCCAGTGCTCAACTGCTGCGTCACTGGGGAGGCCCCAAATCCGATTTTTAAGAACAAAAACCCTAGAAACGCGAGCACATCAAATTCTAGAATCGCAGAACCACAGATACAGACATTTATAATTCAAGGCGGAGGCTTGGTAAGCTATTTCTGTAAAGGACCTGAAGGTCTCTCTGTTGCAACTCTGTCATTCTGCACTGCAGCATGCAAGCCACCATAGACAGTGCCTGCAAGACCAGGCCTGGGCGCCAAGGAAACTTTATTTTAAAAAGCAGGCAGCGGGCTGCGTTTGACCCGAGAGCGGTAGTTTGTTGAGCCCTGTTCCAGAATATCACAATCATAAAGACTCTCGAGTGCATATACTTCCGGAGTTTTGGTTAAACACAATTCCAGTGTCTTTTATTTTTAATTTAATTTTTATTTATTTTTGCATAGAAGAACTGGGGTGTAGGCCAGAGGTGCAGGGGATAAGAGGATTCACTAGACACAGAGTGGGGAGCAGAACAGGCAGGTCTACTGAAATCCACTGCTGAGGGGAGCAGCAGGCAAGACAGGAGAGGTCTGCGGCACCCTGTGGGCAGCTCCCTGCCTGGGGATCAAACTCAGGCCCCTGGGCTGTGGTAGTAACAGCACTGAGATTTAACCCCTAGGCCACCAGGGAGACCCTCCAGTGTCTTTTAAATGTGTTATAAAATACCTCCTACAGACAAGAAAAGTGCATATCCTGGTTGAAGAGCTCAATCAATGTCTTAGTCCATTCAGGCTACAGCAACACTATAACCAGGTAGGTTATAAACAACAGAAAAATATTTCTTACCATTTTGGAGGCTGGGAAGTTCAAGATCAAGGGGCCGGCAGACTTGGTGGGGGCCTCCTTCCTGGTTCACAGAAGGCCATCTTCTCCTTGTGTCCTCACATGGTAGAAGGGGCAGCGTCTCTCTGGGGTCCCTTTTTAAACCACTAATCCCAACCTGAGGGATAATCCTGCCCACATGACCTAATCACCTCCCAAAGGCTCTCCCCTAATACCACCACCTCAACGCAAAGAATGGACTCTTGCAGTTCTAGAATCCCAGGGACATAGGATGCTCGCCTCCAAGAATTACAGCATGCACTACGCCTAAGAAGGCAACAACTGGGCTTTGGTGAGCGAAGAAAATCTTACTCTTTTTTATATAGAAAGCATAAAATTAGGGCCTTCCTGGTGGTGCAAGGGGTTAAGACACAAACTAGGAAGCTGGTCACAGCCACTACTGCATGAGTTCGATCCCCTGCTAGGGGGCTACCCACATGGGGCAGCAGACCTCTCCTGAATCGCCCGCTGCTCCCCTCAGCAGTGTATTTCAGTCAGTCTGCCTGTTCTGCTCCCCACTCTGTCTCTGGTGAATCCTCTCATCCCCCCACACCTCTGGCCTGTACCCCAGTTCTTGTATGCATAAATAAATCTTTTTTAAAAAGTATAAAATTGGGCCTCCCCTGGTGGAGCAGCAGTTGAGCCCTGGGCTGCGAGGCTGCGGGCAGCCTCTGCAGCGCCGGTTCATTCCCCAGCCGCAGGCGAAGGTCCCACAAAAAATAAAATAAAATAAAATAAAAAGTATAAAATTAAACAAATATAAATATAATCAACTTTACAATATATTAGTGTTATCTGTGGTATTAAAATTTTGTGAGAACAAATTAATATTTTTTAAACTCAGGTAGTTGAAAATGGAAAAAAGTTGAGAAACACTGAACTAGAGGAATGGATGATTCTAGAACCTTAGAACTGCAGTCTCTCAAGCACTTCAAATACCACTCTTAGAATTTTGCCATCTGAGCGCATGTTAAGGTAGAGAATTCTAGAATCCAGAATCGAAAGCCACTGCCTCGCAAAGCCGGAAGGAACCTGCAGATCAGCTGTCTCCTTTCACAGGTGAGACAGCAAAGAACCAAGGCTTGGCCAGAGAGACACACGAGCCGGGGATCCCGGCAGCCGGCTTGCTCAAGAGCCAGCTCACGCGCCCCCAACCCGTGCAGGACACCCCAAGTCCTGCGACCCAGGCGACCAGGCTCCAGTTCTTCCGGTGGCTCCCGAGGGCCTCCGGCACACACCTGCCCCTATCGGGCCGAATGGAGAACTGCACGGGTTCCCCTCCCCAAGCCCGGGCCTCCCCTCCCCAGCTGGGGGGACCCGCCCACGGCCTGCCTCTGGGGTGGGGTGTTGTGACTGTCCTGCCTGCCCCCCTCCCCATTCGTGACAAGGGTGCCGATTACCAATTAGCAGAGGCGGGGTAGCCTGGCACTAGGCTGTGCTTAGTTGGCAGCTGCGAGAGAGGGGGCGGGCTCGGTTCCAGAGCCAAACAGCTGGCATCTGCTCCTCCCAACAGCCATTCGCCAACCCACCCCCAACCCAGACAGCAGCCAGCTTTTGAGTCTGAAAGATGAAGGGGTTGGGGCCGCTGAGCCCCATCTTATTCACAGCAGAAGGAGCCTTTGTCTGGGGTTCGTGTCAATTATAGGGACCTGGAACAACATCCCCACTCAGCCATTCACTTGCTGTGTGACCTCGGGCAAGTAAATCGACCCCTCTGAGCTGGTTTTCCTAGCTATCAAAATGCAGCTAACGGTGCTTTCTGCGCTGTTAGGTGAATTTTAAGTGATTATACATAAAGCGTTTATTACAGTCTGGGACATAGTGTGGCCCTGATAAACATAAATGGTTCCTATTAAGTCTATGGAGCTGATTATTTGGCAAGATTCAAGTGTTCAAGCCAATGTAAGCATATTTCCCCTTTTATCAGGGAAGGAGCGGGAAACTGAGGTTAGCAATGCCTTTGTTCAGAGCAGGGTCCAGCTGGTGCCTGGGTGTGTGACCCCCCCCCCCCAGAAAGTACTCATGCTCTCAGGTCCTTAGCTTCCTTGTATGTAAAATGGGCTTGGCACAGAGTAGAGGCAGAGGAAATAGGAGCCATGAGGATGATGGATCCTGTGCCAGGATGATAGAGCTTATGTGGGGGGTGGGGTGGAGTCAGGATGGGGCTTCTGGTAGGAGGATAGGGTTCGTGATGGGGGTGATGGCACCTATTATGCGGGTGTTGGGCTCATGACAGGGACGGTAGGTGTAAAGGCAGCAATGGACACAGTGCAGGTTTTCTGATCCCATGCAGACCGGGTAAAGGAGCAGTCAGTGTCCTCAGTGGTTTTTTGCAGGTTTTTATTGGGGTTCAGCGGGTACATGGCAGGCAGGGGTGCTGGGGGTACTGGGAGGCTGGCAGGCCTCCCAGCCCCCAGCAAATCCTCACTCTATCTGGGCTCTCCCATGATCTTGGCTTCTCTTCAGCTTCTGCTGCTGCTACTGGCGTCCCCATGACGCCGCCCTTAAAAGCCCAGTCTTAGCCCAAGTGAATCCCATCTACCTGTGCCCACACCCCACTCCAGGTGCCCGCCACCAGGCACGCATTCAGGACCGCAGGGATCCATCATCTATCCTGATGGCGGGAGGGCAGAAAAGCCTGACATTTTCTTTACCCTACAGTAGGCCTCATGCTGAGGATGCTGGAGCTCATGATGAAAAAAATACAGATGGGAGTTCACAAAGGCCCAGCAAAATAAAAAGCTCACTTTTCAGAAAAGGAAGCAGGTTCAGAGGGAACACCTACCCAAACTCAGTGTGTGGTGGGGGCGGAGACCCTGAGTTCCCTCATGGGAGGGGGAACCCTCACCCTGGAGGATGCAGGAGCTTGGGACTCGAAGGTGAGCAACCCCCTGCCCCCAGACATAGATTCTCTGCAGATGGCCAGCTCCTGCACCCGAACCAAACCTCCAGTTTCCCAGGTGAACCTGCCCTAGTGTCTCTCTTCCAGACCTAATCACAGTCAAAACATCCACTTCAGCACCTCCTCCAGGAATGCACCCCGCGCTGCTGGCGGGGTGCGTGTTGGTGGTCCTGACAGCGATCGCGCTGGGCGCGGGGATCTGGATCCGCCGCCGCGGGCACCGGGAGGCAGGTAACCACCCCCGCAGCCACACAGAGGGGGGACCCCGCGGGCGCCCTGGCCGCTGGCGAGCGCGCCCCCTTGCGGCGGAGGCGGGATCTGCAGTCGGGTGACGCGGGTGGGACGCGTCCCTCATCCCATACCTGCCCCTCAGGAAGGAGGGGGTGCGGGGCGGGCAGGACACAGGAGAATAGATGGAGAAGACTGGCCCCTAAATCACGTTTTCAGAAGCAGAGACAAAGCCCTCAGAGGGGGGCTGGAAAGGTCAGGCTCTCAAGTGACTGTCCCACTTGGTCTGCTCACCCCTCCCCTCCCAGAGAACCCCCTCTACAGCAACATCCCACGCCAGCCGCGTCGGGCCCGGAGGACCGAGGTGGGGGCTGCAGAGGGGAGGAAGCAGCTGGACATCCCCAGGGAGGACCAGAAGGCTGAGAGCTTCTATTCCACCTCTTTCCCCCGGCCTCCTAGCCCCCCGCAGAATCGCACTCCAGCCCCCAGCCCATGCCCCAGCCCCAGGCCCAGGCCCAGACCCCCCATCTCTGCAGGCAGAATCTCCCCCCACCCAGGGCCCTATGGGTAGCCAGAGGCAAGAAGGTTCCTTTAAGTGGAAAGAGGAATTGGAATCCCCAGAGATCCAGTGAGGCTCTCCCAGTGGGCACGTGAAAATGTAACTTATTCCAGGGGGATCAGCCACTCACCCCGAGGTCACTGTCCTCACCCAGTCCCTGGACCTGCCCCTGCTCCCAGTACAGTCAATAAAAGCTCATGAAAAAAGCAAAGTCAGACTTTGTGGTGATTTGGGGGTGCTAAAGAGATTTGAGGGTTCATCTGGGGGGTCCAGAGCCTCCAGGGGTCGCTGGAGAGGTCCACTGTGGTGATCTGTGATATTCACCAGCCTCCCCTGTTGTCCTTGCATGTCTAGTGAGCGGGGAAGTGATGCCCCAATCCTCCAAACAGTGCCTCAAGCGGGAAGCATCCCTTCCCCAGCTGGTATGGCCCACCCAGGCGGGCTGGGAGGTTGGTGGGGAGGAGCCAGGAGGGAGACCCAGGCCCCCTGGCATTTATCAGTCCTCAGGGTCTCTTGCCTGACTGTCACCTTGAAGTGACACCAGCTGGGCTAGGGTCCCCTCCCCCACCTCTGTTTCCATGGGGACAGATGTCCTTTCCTCGCATCAGGCCTCAGATGCCTGCCCAGATGGGGCAGAGGAGCGTGTGGGGGAGGGGTGGGCCTAAGAGCCTGCCCCCTCAGTTTCTCCATCTTTATTTCTGCCTGTGTCCACTGCCTCCTGGTTCTTCTCTGCCCGCCTTATCTGCCTCCCCCTCCCTGTTGTCTCCAGCCCTGAGGTTTGTTCCCTGAATTGTGGGTGCAATTCAGGCACCAACCCCAGCTCTACCCCAAAATGAGCTGTTGGGGACCACAACACCCTTCCCTCTCCAAGAATCTGTCTCCTTTCTTCCTTTGGCGTAGGAACCTACCTCCCAGAAAAGACATTTGAAATACACGGTAAGTTATTTATTTCCTGGCCAGCAGTGGGCTTCGAGACATGATTGGGGAGCGCAGAGAGAGTCGGAGAAGGCGGCGCTGATGGCGACCGGGACCCGGCAGGGGGAGGAAGTCTTTCCACCCAAGCCTCTCGCAGGACTGGAAAGACCTCCAGCGTTTACTGGGCTGTCAGCACACAGGGCAACAGGACAGGGAGCTGAGTCTCCTGGTCAGGGCGTCTGGGTGGTCACTGGGTAGAGCAGGGCCAGGTGCTCGGCGCCCTGAACGGGCAGCGGGCGTGAGCTGTAGTGGAGGACCAGCTCGGGCACGCTGGCGAAGGGGCCACTGTGCTGGCCTAGCACCAAATGGTTTTCTCGAGTCCGGGTGAACTTCAGATGCAGAAATCCCTGGCTGCTCCTGAGGGAAGGGACCAGAGGGTCTCAAGCGGCCCAGAACTACCCACACTCTCCAGCCCTCAGGCCAACCCCGCATGGCCCCCAGGAGCCACGTTTGGGGCCAACCGGTGGATTGTTCCACCCCGGTAGGGGTCTTCCGTCTCCCCAGAGGGCTGAGGTCCCACCCGGTCCCTCCTCCAGAACACTCCCAACCCCTGTGCGCCCCATCCTGGGCTCTCCACTAGTGAACCCTCAATCTGGGGTCTTTTTCTTTTCTTTCCATTTCGGGTGGGGAACCATTTTAGCATCATCATTAATAGGAAGGAAGCGCTTCCTGTGTCCTGGGTCCTATTCTCGGCTTGCCTGTGTTTGTTTCCATCTGGCCAGTGCGCTACTATCAGCCTCATGTTACGCCTGACCTTAGCCCAAAGGCCGAGAAGCGACAGCCTCATATTACAAAGAGAAAACTGAGGCTGGCAAGTGGCAGAGGCAGGATTTGAATCTGCCTCCAACGTCAAGTCCTCTTCCTCTTCCTCCTCCTTTGCGTAGTCTCACACTCAGATGCTAACAGAATCTCAAGAACGTTTTATGATCAGACACACTTAGAACCTGAGGCAGAGAAGACTCAAATGCATACAGGGCCACGCCGAGATTCTGGCTCCAGACAGACACAAATAGCTCAGTTTTGGACTAGGGGAGTCAGGGCAACTGTGGACGTTTAGTTCACCCTCTTACTCAGGCCCAGGTTTACTGCACAGCTTCCACTCCATTTTCTGGCCGACCTCAGGTGCAGGGAGCCAGCTCATGCTGGAACCAGGCCAGCCCAGGCCGCCCTAGGAGCCCCGCCCACTGGTCTAAAGTCCTGCCTATCAAGCCTGCAAGCCTCGCTCTGACCCCAGCAACCCCACCCGCTGGCTGCTGCAGCCCCACCCGTGCGCCCACAGAATGAACTGTGAAGCATGTCACCTGCAGACCTGTGACCCTCTGTCTCTCCAGAGGGCTGGGGTCTCACCTGAGGGACAGGGAACAGTCCTGGGGGCTGGTCTCGCTGAGCCTCACCAGGTAGCTGCCTTCCTTGCAGAGTGACAAGATGTTCTCGGCATCGGCACGGCTGAGGGGCCCATGGAACCACCTGGGCGGGGGGCAGGGGTCTCAGGAGGGGAGTCCACCTTCCAACACATCAGGGTCGCCCGAGGTCGCATCGCATGCCAGCACAAACCCCGCGGTCGCATGCCAGCACAACCAGCACAGAGGAAACAAGCAGGAAAAGTTGCCTTGGGCTTCTCAAGAGGGGCCTGGAGTTCTGGCAGACATGGTTACCCTGGAAAGTCAAGGGGGAGCCTCTCCCTCCAAATCAACACCTACACCTCAACTTTCACAGCCCCCCTCAAGTGCCCTGACCTCCCTCCCTAATCCCCCAACCTCAATCCCTTTCATGAGATTCACCGCATCCTGTCTCCCCACTCACCTGTACCATGCTTTATTCACTATTTCATAACGTGATCAAAGGGAGGCTCAGCGGCCGTGCGCAAGGTGTCAAACACAGAGCGCCCGAGGCCTGGCGGTTGTTTGTATTGAAAAGAAAACAGCGTCTCACGCTGGGTTTCCACGCTAATGAGCCAGTTCTGTACAGGCCATCTAAGAGGTTTGGGGCGGTGATAAACACACCCTGGTCCCCAGGAGGCTGGGCTCTGGGGGCTCACTGAGGGACAGGGAGCAGACCCAGAACCTGCCAGCTTGTGCGCCTCAAGATCTTGTGCAGGGCCTCCCCTGGTGGCGCAGCGGTTGAGCGCTGGGCTGGGAGGCTGCCTGCAGCTGCTGCAGCGCCGGTTCATTCCCCGGCCGCCAGCGAGGGTCCCACAAAAAAAAAAAAAAAATCTTGTGGGTGTGAGAACAATTTCTGTCTCTGCTCTCCCCACCCAGCTAAAGGGAGGAAATCCCCCTTTTTAATATTTTGAGCTGGAGACTCAGAGAACTTAAGTCACTTGTCCAAAGCTACACAGCCAGGGGCGCAGAGCAGGAATTTGAACCCAGAATCGGGAGCCTGCATCTGATTCTGCTTCGCGCCTACCTAGGTGTCCGGCCCGCAGCGCGCAGGCGCTCGGCGATTAGTTGAAAAAATGAATGAATCAAAGTTCCACTTGCCCCTTCTGCACCCCCTCCCCAACCCGAGGAATCTGTAGCTGGGAAGTGACCCAGAGGGGCTCAGGTGGGCTGTCCCCAGTTCCGCTTCCACACTCACGGCTGTTTCTCCAGGGGCAGCGCGGGGTCCACGCGCTCAGCAGGCTGGGGGCTTCTGGGCGGGTGTCGCCGGAGCTCCCTGGCTGCGCCTGAGGTCCTTTCCCAGTCAGGACTGTCAAACTGCACTAGAGGGCCGGGATGAGAGGAGGGTTAAGTGCAACCTACCTGAGACCTTCAGAAAAAGGGGGTGTAGCCATGAACAAATCAGGTGGCTTGCAAGGGCTGGGCAGCTCCATGAGTGATGACTCAATCAGAGGACAGGAGTGGTGGCAAGATGGGTAGACTGAGGCATGAAGACCCAATTTCCCTCTCAGTCATACAAATTCTAGGGCAAAGGTGAGCCCATGCAACTCTTCTTGGTCCAAGGTATTTTATTTCTTGAAGCTGACCCTATGGCTTTTTTTTTTAAGATTTATTTATTCTTGCATATAAGAATTGGGGCGTAGGCCAGAAGTATGGGGAATGAGAGGATTCACCAGAGAGAGTGGGGAGTGGAGGAGGCGGATCCACTGAAATACACTGCTGAGGGAGACACAGGAGAGGTCTGCTGTACCATGTGGGTCTTTCACCTCTGCGCCACCAGGGGAGGTCCTCTTGAAGCTGACCTTATGGCTTTTACATAAGAGGGAACTGAGTTTCAGAGACCTGCCCAAGCTTTCTGATTCAGGAATTGACCCTAACGCCACCTAATGACAGTTACTGTGAAATGCTACCCAAGAAAATTTACTAAGAAATTATGTATGGGGCCTCCCTGGCCCGCCAGGGAGCAACCCACATGGCGCAGCAGACCTCACCTGTCTCGCCCACTGCTCCCCTCAGCAGCGTATTTCAGTCAGTCTGCCTGTTCTGTTCCCCAGTCTGTCTCTGGTGAATCCTCTTACCCTACCCCCATACCTCTGGCCTACACCCCAGTTCTTGTATGCATAAATAAATAAATCTTTTTTAAAAAAAAAGAAATTGGGCCTCCCCTGGTGGTGCAGCGGTTGACTGCTGGGCTGCAAAGCTGCCCGCGGCCTCTGCAGCACCAGCTTGATCCCCGGCCACCGGCGAGGGTCCCACATGGCCCGGCAGACCTCTCCTGCCTCGCCCGCTGCTCTCCTCAGCAGTGTGTTTTGTCAGTCTGCCTGTTCTGTTCCCCGCTCTGGCTCTGGTGAATTCTCTCACCCTCCCGCGCTTCTGACTGTACCCAGTGCATGTATAAATAAATAAATAAATCTTAAAAAAAATAGAAATTATGTATAATTGAGCACATTGTACTACTCAATTTACAAGCATCCTGTGGGGTAAGTACTCTGAAGATTTCCATTTTACAGGTAAGGGAAATGAGACTCAGAGAAACTCAATGACTTGCTCAGATAAGTGACACAATCCCAGGTTTAGCAGACACCAAAGCCTATGCCTGCACTAAACTTACAGGATGAGCAGGTTTCATTGCACTCTAAACAGTGTTTCGGTTTCCAAGGAAGATACAGATTCTCCTGGGAAATTTTTAACCATCAGTCATTCACACTTTAGAGAGAATTAACAAACTGCCAACATGGCAGGTGACGGGGATGTGGGCATTCAGAGGTGAGGACCTGTACTGGGGAAGCACCTGCAAATGCCTTGGAGATGTGATCTTTCTTCCACTCCCAGGGCTGATCATATTCATCTGCTGGGCGTTCATCCTCCCGGGGCAGCCGACTCTGCCGAGGCCTCTGCCCTGAAGGAGCTTCCTCTGCTGGCCCTTGGCCCTGCTCCTCATAGGGAGTGTCATACAGCTGCACAACCCTGCACGGCAGTTCTGCGAGAGGCCAAGAACACTGGTCAACTGTCATTCCCATCTGGGGCCATAGCCCCTTCCCTCAAGAACTGTCCACTCACCACTCATGACCCGCTGGGCATCATAGGGCTCCATGTAGCTGTCATCTGCAGGTGGTGCACAAGGCTGAGCATCAAAGGGGTCCGAGTACTCAGTGTCCACTTCCAACTGGAGAGAGAAGGAAGGGAAGGGGACAGGGACTCAAGGGCCATGCCTAGCTCTGAGCGATGGAACACCCTCGGCCTGCCTTCTCTAGGCCTTTCCACACATAACTTTCAAGCAGTTCTATTTGGGGACTTGGGGGTAAGGGTTGGGGGTGTTCTCCACCACCCACAAGTGCTTGCTGAACAGACACCACCTTCCCTTTGTCTCTCCCTCCACGTCCTTCTGATTCTCCCTGACCCAGGCCCCTCCTTCCGTCTTCATAATGATCAGGTTCCAGCACTATTCTAAATGCTAAATGCTGTATAAATATTTCATTGTGATACGAACATTCAGTAAGTGCGTAATTCCCATTTTATAGATGAGGCAACCAAGGCACAGAGAGGCTAAGTGACTTGCTTAGGGTCACACAGTACATAAGCAATTAGGTCATATTTTTTTTAAGATTTATTTATTTATGCATACAAGAGCTGGGGTACAGGCCAGAGGTGTGGGGGGGGGGGTGTGAGAGGATTCACCAGAGACAGAGTGGGGAGCAGAACAGGCAGACTGACTGAAATACACTGCTGAGGGGAGCAGCGGGTGAGTCAGGAGAGGTCTGCTGCGCCATGTGGGTAGCTCCCTGGCCAGGGATGGAATTCATGCTGCAGTGGCTGCTGATAGCTTCATAGAGCTGCGTCTTAACCCCCCGTGTCACCAGGGAGGCCCCATGTAGGTCATATTTTGATTCCCGCTTGTCTGCACCCTTGAGTCCTGCATCTTCCTACCTTTCTCTGTGATCTCAATCACTGACCTACAGTCTCATCACCGCAAATCCTTCTCTGCCTGGACTAGGGACCTGGGGTTCACTCCCTGATCTTCTAGGAAAGATACTGAGAAGAGCATGCACATCTTTACTTCAAATTCTAATGAGCCAAAGCCTGTGGCCTTGGGCTGGTTGCTTTTCTTCCGTGAGCCTCAGGTTCCACTTCTGTAAAATGGGGATGTTTAAAGCAGAAAGGGCAAGGAACAGTGGGGGGGATGTCTGAGGGCCTGGTAGGGGAGAGATGTGTTCAGATTTCTTATAGAAAGACTCACCAGCTGCTAGGAAGAAGGGAAGCTGGGGAGAGGGTCAAGAGTGGGGGATCTGGGCCACAAGGCAGAGGCCATCCGAAAGGTAGGGGGAGCGGCCAGCCTAGTGCATTGCAAAGAGACAGACATTAAACTCGCCAAGCAGAACTGGGGAGTGTCTGGCTGGTGCCCTGGCTCACCCCTGGGGACACACATAAAACAAGCGCCTGAAATCCAAGGCTCCAGCCTGGCCCTCGCCACCCCGCATCCCGGGGCCACCCCACGTCCCGTGATAATAGCCACGCACCTCTTCCCCGGGGCTGCCCAGCAAGACCTTGGCTCGGGCCATGTCAGCTGCCTCCACCTTGATGAGCCGATGCTTAGGAGAGTCGTACTTGGCCTCTCCAGGGCCCTTGGAGTCCGCGGGGCCCGCAGGGTCCAGCTCCAGGCGGCTGTCCGCATCCTCGTAGGGGTCCTCGAAGTCCAGATCCTTCTGCTCCCGATAGGCTCTCAGGATGTCGCTCTCCGAGTAGTCCGGGGTGGGGGGCTGCGGAGGGGGCCTCCGCCCGCCAAAGGTCAGATAGTCTCGGAGCCACTTGGCCATCTGGGCGCGCGTCACCTCAAACCTAGCCACTGTCAGAGGCGGCCCCACATGCCCCCTTCCAGGTGCCCTTCCCCGGCGGAGTACCCCGGCAGGAGGAGGTGGAGGCAGGAGCAGGCCAGGGGGGCGGGGAGGGAGGGGCGGGCGCGGTGGGAGGAGAGAGCTCAGGTGAGCCGCGGGGCTGGCTCCGGGAGAGAAGAGGGGCCGAGGAAGGAGGAATAGGGGAGGAGGGGCAGGAGCCCCCCTCGGCCGGGCTCCGGAAGGGCGGAGGCGGGAGGAGGCGCGGGGGTCGGGGTGCGGGGGTGCGGGCGGCGGGGCGGCCCGGCCCGGGCGAGGGGCGTCCGCAGAGCGCGCGGAGTTTTCGCGGGCGGCGCGGTCCCCGCGCGACTCGACCCGCCGCCGCCCCCGGGCAGCTCCGGGACCCCCCTTGGGCTGGGGGCTCGGGGAGCGCGCCGCGGGGGACGCCCCGGCTCTGGCCCAGCCCGGACGCCCGGGTTCTCGGCGCAGCGGGCGGGTTCACCCCGGGCGCGGGCGCCGGGCGCAAAGTTGGGTCGCGGGGACGGGGACCTCGGCCCGGCGCGTCCTTTGTTGCCCCCTTCTCCGCGCGGGGGGCGCCCCAATCCCGCTGCCCCGGCCGGGCCGCCGCGAGCCGGCCCCAGCCACCGGCACAAAGGGAAATAAAACCTCCTCCAATCCCCTCACGCCCGCGGAGAGACTTTACCCGCCGGCGGCCGCGCGCGCCCGGGAGGAGGCACTTTGGGGGTGGGGGGCGCCCCGGCGGCGCCCCAGCACCCACCGGCCGCGGCCGCGTCCCCGGCAACGCGCTGAGCCTTCCCCGCCTCCCCCCGCGGCCCCCGCCCTCCCGCGCCCCGCGCGCCCCTCCAGGTGACGGGGACCTGCAGCTGCTGGGGGGGGGGCCGCCGCCGGGGGGCGGGGGGGCCGCGGCCGCTGGACACCCGCCCGGAGGACCCAGGCGGCGGGAGCGAGCGGAGGCGGGGGAGGGAGCCGGCACCGGTTGACCTTGCCGGGGGTCGGGAGGGAGAGGACCGGGAGGGGGACCCCGCCGGGGAGCGGGGACCGACGCGGGGGAGCCGGACTTGACCGCCAGGCGGGCAGCGGCTGCCCAGCAGGGGGGCGAGTGGCCACTGACCACTGTTGATGGAAACGGAACCGGCACCCGACCGCAAAGCCGGCCGGAGTTTGGGGGTGCGGAGATGGCTCCAGAGGTCAAGGGGAGGGGCAGGACGTGGCCGCTCCTCCCCCAAGAGGGCCCTTCTCTGTCCTCCCCCGGGGGGCCGTCGCTGTGCGGAGCTTGGGGGTTGGGGCAGCTGGCGGGCAGGGAGATGCTATCAGCGACTGCGGGGCCGCAGCATCTGTCCTTTTGTGGCTGGGGGGGGCAGAACGGAGAGGGGTCGCCTGTCCTGCCTGTCTCTTGGCCGGGGCAGCTGTGGGGGAGGGGCCAAGACACCACTAGGTTTGGGGGGGTGAGAGAAGAAAAAGGGGCTACGAATTCCAGCAAAAGCACATTTTTTTCTTTCCCCATAGGGAGCTTGTTCAGTTCCCCCTTATGGCTGGAGTAAGAGGGGGTGGTCAGGAAGGCTGGGACCCCAGATTCCCTTCTCCCTGCCCAGGGTAGGCAGGTGCTTGTGGCTTAGAGGGGAGGAAGGACCCGACAGAAATCAGAGCTAATTCTGTCGTGGGGACCCGGGTTTCTAACGGGAACAGCAGCGCCTGAGGAAGTGTGGGCAGGAGTGAGTGATCACCCACCCTTGTCATTCTACTGGTAGGGAAACTGAGGCACAGAATGGGGAGGGACTTGCTCACAGCCACCTGACAGATTATTTCTGCCTGGATGCCAGGAGGTGGCCCGGCTTGGGGTGGCACCCAAAACCCCCCAGAGTCTTTCATGCTGTCAGCTCCCTTTCCAGATGGGGAAACTGAGGACCAGAGCTGGCAAGGCAAAGCAGGGGCTTCCATCTGCGTTGCCCTACACGAACCTGTTGAGCTGGGTCCTCCCCACCTTAGCGCATTCGCACAGCTCCCACCCCGCCCTCTCCCTCTCTCCGGTTGGCAACTGGAGACCAGGCAGCACCCCTGGGGTCTGCCAGGGAGCACGGTGGGTAATTGTCCTGTTTTCTGTCAGCCGCCAGGCAATTCCCTGCTCAGCGATGAGCTGATGACAGATCTCATCAAATCCAAGGCCTCTCTCTGTCAGATAAATATGCGGCGTCTGAGGTATAAATATTTGAAAGGGGCCTTCTAATTACAGTGTGTGTCAGGAATAGCAATCAGGGGCCCCGAGGCAGAATCAAACGGCATTTGACTTCCCTGCGCTTTTGAGCTGGCTTCTCCTTCTCTGGGGTTTGTCCTCCCTACCCCACCCCAGTGGAGGAGGGGGGCGCGTGGAGGAGCCAGAGATGGTGGGTGAGAAGAGCTAGGCTTGGGGTCCAATGCCTCGAAGGGTGATCTCAAATAGCCACGTCACCCCTGGGTTCTGGCTTTCTGACCTATGGCTGATGGCTGCAGAACAAAGGTGAGGAGGTGGAGCGGGCTGGGGGTGCTGGGTTGAGGGGACTCCCCCCCCCCAAAACGAGTGGGGTTTTTCAGGGCTCCTTTCTGGTGAAGCTGTTTCTGGGGCCTCAGCCCCCTAACCTTGAGTAATGACCTGGGCTCTTCCCATCTGTAAAATAGGAGACTCACAGCTCACCGCTGCTGGCAGTGTACTGAGATGCCAGGTTGAATGACATACACTGCCGAGGGGAGCAGCGGCAAGCCAGGAGAGGTCTGCTGTGCCATGTGGGTCAGCACCCTAGTTGCGGATTGCTTCATAGTGCTGATGCTTAACCCCTTGCGCCACCAGGGAGGACCCTGAGGTGCATTCTTTTTTAAAGAGGTAATGTATACTGAAAGTGGACATTCTAATGCTTTTTAGTATGTTCACAAGATTGTGTAACTATCGCCATGAATCACAAAACATTCCATTACCCCAGAAAGAAACCTGTACCCAATTAACAGTCACTTCCTATTCTCCCCAAGTCTCCAGCCCCTGGCACCACAAACCCACTCTCTGCCTGTGGCTGTGTCTGTTCTGGACATTTCACATCAGTGGGCACACACCATGTGGCTTCTCTCCCTGAGCATCACATGTTCAAGGTCCCTCCCTGTGGTAGCGAGTGTCAGAGCTGCCCCCCTTTTCATGGCTGAGTGATGACCTATAACATGGTATACAGTAGGTGCTCAATATATGCTTAGTGTGTAGGGGATCTCAGGGAAGATGGTTCCTGCCTAGGGACTGTGCCTGCAGTCCCCTCACCCTTGCTTCAGGGAGCAGCCCGCCCTGGGTCCCCAACACTGGAGGGTGGATGGGTTCCAAGGCTCCAGAATAGGAGGAGAGGGACCAGCTGGGAAGGCCCTGGTGGGGTCTAAAATGTCCTAATCTGGGGCCTCCCTGGTGGCACAAGGGTTAAGATGCCAGCAACACTATGAAGCCACCCCAGCCAGCCAAGGAGGTGACCCACATGGCATAGCAGACCTCTCCTGACTTATCTGCTGCTCCCCTCAGCAGTGTGTTTCAGTAGATCTGCCTGTTTTGTTCCCCACTCAGTCTCTGGTGAATCCTCTCACCCACACCTCTGGCCTACACCCCAGTTCTTGTATGCATAAATAAATCAATCTTAAAAAAAACAAACTCCTAATCTGGAGAAGGAGACTTGGGCCTTAGGAATACCTAGTCATTAGGATAGATAATCTCTGCGCTTGGAAGCTTCTAGAAGCTGCCTTTCCTAATTTACAGTCTGAAGGAAGAGACATGGTCTGGCCCTCAGAAGTCCCCAGTGTGAGGAGATAGGGTCAGCTACTTACTAGGCTCCAGACTGGTGGGGTAGGCAGGCTTTTGACTTGAGGGCCTTCCCGTCTGATGAAGACTTGAGCCCAGGAAGCCCAGTCTGATGGGGGAGGTGTGATGTGCCTTCAAAGTAGCAGCCAGGTGGAGGAAGCATATGCTTGCTCGCGGGAGCTCCCAGTCTGATGGCGGAGATACGGCCCTGACTTCCAGGCTCACAGTCTGATGGCGGAGACGTGAGTCAGCCTTCAGGGGTCCCAGGACAATGTGGGGGGCATGGTCCAGACTTCAAGCATGCCTAATCTGATGGTGGAGGTGTAGCCCTGTCATCATGAGCCCCCAACCTGATGGGGAAGGCATGTCTCAGCCCCTGGAGGCCTCTGGTCTGCAGAAGCTGCATTGGACTGTGGTGACTGAAAGTCTTTTTTCAAAGCCAGGTCTTGTCCATCACTTGCTCTGAACCCTCAGTCAAGGAGCTCCCCACATCTGTAAAATGTGGCAGTAATGGAGCATGTGCCCCAGGGCAGGGGCAGGGAGAGAGCTCAGACAGCACAGTGGGCGGGGGGCGGCTAACCCCCAAGTCTCTCTAATGTGCTCAGGCAGTCGGGCAGCCTCCAGGGGAACTGATGGAGGAGATTCTGGATGAGGCCTGACAGCTCTCAGAGACCACTATGGAGCTCGTGGGGACCAGGACTGTCTGCCACGATGGGGGAAGGGCAGGCTCCAGAGAACAGAGGGGAGGGTATCCAGCGGAGTGGGGGGGGGGGCTGGGAGGGGTTGAATCTGAGGCAGCGATGTTGGGGAGGTGGCAGAGGATTAGCACATGGAAGACCCCAATGTGTGTGACTCTGCCTCTGCTGCCTCAGCCCTAGGAACCCCAACAAGAGAATGGGCCTTCCAGGACTGGGGGAGGGAGGGAGAAGAAAGCATAAAGGTCTCTGGGGCAACAAGAATTCAAGAGATCATTCCAGTGGAAGAGGGGGGCCTGTGGCGGAGGGCAGGCAGAACCAGGGGGCCCCTGGGCTGCAATCTCAGCTGTAGGTAGTGGGGAGACACCCACTAGGGCCACTAACATTCACGGAGCCCTGCTGAGTGCTGGATAGTCTTAGCTATTGTGGACACACTAACAATGTGACACCCCCCTTGCAAAGCTCACTGCCAAAGGGGATCTAGCAGGTAGACCCTCAGGTGACCCCATTAACCCCAACCTCCTGTGGTCACACCCATGTGTAATCTCTCCCCTTAAATATGTGGCTTGTTTCCAACCAGCAGAACATGACAATGATGACAGGAAGCCATTTCTAGCAGCTTCTCCTTAGAAGTCAGCTGTTGGGGAGCTCCGTGTAGACCAGGAACTGAGGGCAGCTTTGACCTAGGATTCTGTCCATAACATGACAGAGAGCTTGGGAGAGAATACTGCCCCAGCTGGGCCTGCAGCTGAGACCCCAGTCTGAGACCGTGAGGCAGAGCATTCAGGGAGTCAAGGGTATCAACAAGCCTGCTTAACACAACCTCAGGACTGTCTTACCCACCTCATTTGCTTCATTTGCTTATATTTTACCATTATATTAATGTTTCCTCCCTTACCCACACCCCATCTCCCAACAATCACGTCTTTTTTCACTGATATAGCTATGGCTAAAGCGGTGCTGGGCATTTAATAGGTGCTTAATTAATATCTTTGCAGTGAGCAAATGGATTAATAAATGTGCACCGGGGAATGTAAATGAGCTTGCTAATGGTGACTGCTGCATAAAGCTCGGCTGTCATTACTACAAATTCAATGGATGCTGCCTTTACTGCAGCCACCATGTCACATGGAGAAAAGAGAGCTTGGCACCTGCCTTCCCATGACCTCAGCCAGCAAAGCTGCAGGGACAGGGTGAGCCCAGAAACTGGGGAGATGTCTTGACTACCTTCCCTCTGGAACCTGTGGGGAGCAGAATTTGGTATCTTAGATAGGGGCCAGCAAACTTCCTCTATAAATGCATTGACTGTCAGGGCATAGTCTCCATTCTAGCCACTCAACTCTGCCACTGTAGAGTGGAAGCTGTGAGCATGTTGGTGTGCCAATAAAACTTTATTCACAAACACGGGCTAGGGAGCAGGTTTGACCTACGGACCTGTTTTCTCACCCATGTTTTAGAATGAAGTTGGGATAACATTAAGTCAGTAAAAGCAACAGATGGTGCATCATGTGGCAAAAGTACAGGGAAAGATCAGGAAACATTCTGAAAGAACCAACCAAAGTGGAACAGAGGGGCCCAAGCTCCTCGATCTTTTTTCATAGCTTAAGCCGATGATTTATCTTAACTGTTTCTAAATGGGCCTTATTACAGGCATAATGCCTGATACTGAGTTTGTGAAAATCAGCTATGCTGTGCTGTGAACAGTTTAACAACTGGCATTTTGGCAGGGGAGAATGACTTGTAGTGTTTGCCAATTTCCATGGTGTAAATATTTCTGCTGTGCCTGTTTTGAGCCACAAATCCGATGTCAAATTTGTATCAGGAAGAGCTATGCGCATGGTGTCAACCTCACCAGCTGGCAGTAGGAGCTGACTTGGGCCCACTGTTGTCAGGCTGCCAAGTCAGGACCCGAAGTCCTCTCCTCTTGGTCAAAGAGTAGGGTGGGAGGCCCCCCACATCTGTCTAAGCCCTCTCAGGTTCCCAGTTGGCCTCTTCATCTGTGGTACCCAAGTAGAGGAATCATCGCAGAAAGCAGATCCCCAAAATAAGAGGTTTTCACCTCCTAAACTCTGACAGTGAAAAATACAAAACCTGGGTATCTAATGCCAAACGGAAGCGCGTGAATGTGAGAAGGGCTGAGGCTGGCAACACTCACTGGCGCAACGGGAAAGAAGAGATGGGCGGGTTGTGGAGTCTGGAAGGGGCACAAAGCCTTCAACTAGAAAATACCGGAGCTGGAGAGGATCACACAATCACACATCTCTTACCTGCCGAGTAGGCAACAAGGGACGACGCACGTGAGGTCACACCTAGCTGGACCCCCTAGTCCAGGTGTCATTATACTCTATGGCACCACAGCATAAGGAAATCGCCCGACCACTGGTTCCTCAGAACAAGTTCCCACCATTAAGCGACGCAACTGTAACAGAGCTGACATCTGAAAACCCTGAGAGCATGAGCGCTGGGGTCAGATTTATTGGTCATGTGACTATGAGCTCTTTACTGCTGTGCAAGGACGCATCCCCAAACTAAACGTACTAACGACAGGCATATATGACAGTTCCTGAGGGCCACAAATCTGTGGCTCCCTCCTCAGATACTGGCAGAGCCTCTACTGGGTCCACAGGGTTGAGGCTGGGCCCACCTGGTGGGTGGCTCTTCCACGTGCCCAAGACACAGCAACATCTGAAGCTTGAAGGGGACCGAGCCTGTGCAAGCTCAGAGCTGCTCCAGGGATGTCCCAGCCCTGAATATGATGCCAGATGAGGGGCACCATGAGCCGGGGACCCCAAGGTTCCCGAGGGGACAGGAGAGAAACTGAGTCCTGTGGCTGAAGTCCTCATTTGTCCTTGGTGGCTCTGATTGTACCAGGCCTCGAATCCCAACCACCAGCTGGAGCCCCACAAGTGGCCCTTGCCCCAAGCAAAGTCCCTGGGGAGGGCGAGGCTCAGTTGCTGCCGCTACTGTCTTCACTGTCTGAATATGCACCCAGCTGGCTTAGGGAGGAGGTGCCAGGTGTCTGGGGAACAGGGTCTGCCACCTTATCATTCTTCGTGGAGCCTAGGAGGAAGGCAAGAGTTAGCCCACCACACCTCAACCCTGCAGCCTGCCTGCCACTGATGGCCCTATAATAGCCGAACACAGGGGAACGGGGCTGCACACCCCTACTTGCTCAGGGCTCAGGACAGCCCTGTCTTTCTGGAGGGAACCTGGTGGGATCTATCACAGGCTTAAACACACAGCCCATCTGACCCAGCAACACCCCTATGGAAGCTGACCTATGGGAACCCAACCCATTTCTACCAAATGTAAGCCATTTCAAGTCGAAAGGAAACCAAACCAAACACCACAGTGGTTAAGAGGGGAAGCTCCCAGCTCCACCCACCGCACCCCTGTATGACTATGGGTAAGTGGCTTTGCACTCTGGGCCTGGGACTCATCTGACAAAAAGGGTGATAACTGTTCTGGTCACAATGGCTCACGAGTGCAACAGGCGCACTGCAGGCCAGGGTTACAGCAGATCCTCACAAGGCGCCTCTCAGGAGTCAACACAAGAAGCTTAACTGGTGGGTTCTTACAGGGCGGGAAAGGTAGGCCCAGGGTGAAGTCCCTGACCACAGCCACAGAACAAACATGTAGAGGAGTGAGGGGTCTGCACCTGGGTTGGTAGGTGTTGTCAGTCCCTCAACGTTCCCCCCATCCCCCTCAATCTGCTACTCAGCAACAAAATAGCAGAGGTCAGGCCTCCCTGGTGGTGCAGGGGTTAAGTCTCAATGCTATCAAGCTATGAACAGCCACTGTGGTGGCATGAGTTCGAGCCCTGGCCTGGGAGCTGACCCACAGGGTGCAGCAGACCTCTCCTGTCTTGTCCACTGCTCCCCTCAGCAGTGTACTTCGGTCAATCTGCCTATTCTGCTCCCCACTCTGTCTCTGGTGAATCCTCTCACACACAACCCCCACCTCTGGCCTTAACCCCAGTGCTTGTATGCATAAATAAATAAATAAATAAATAAATAAATACACAGCTGAGGCACTGCTGCCACCCAGCATCCATCTGCGGTACTGCACCCAGCTTCAGGGAACCCTGGGAACTCACCTGGGGTGGGTGCTGCCTGGCTCTGCTGGGTGTTGCCATGCAGAGCTGTTTTCTTCACCACGACCAGGCCCAACAGTTGGGGCCTGCTGCCAAAGGTGCCGACACTCCGCTCCCAACTCTCCACCTTCCTCTTGGCCTTTGGGGTCTGCAGGGTGATGAGGTAACAGGAGAGTGGTCGCAGATCCCACCACCCCTCTGGCCTCATGTTCGTAGTCCCTGTTAAACTGGGACCTTGACCACCCATTCTCCCGCTGCGGTGCTGACCTAATCTCCCCCCTGCTCAAAACTCTGCGCCTCCCACCCCACCTCCATCGCCCTAAGCTTGGTACTCGAGTCCTCTACACATTTTCCATCATACACATCCGACTTATAAAGTGCAGCTTCTTACCTCCACACCTTTACCCACCACGTGGAACCTCCTATTTTCCTCTTGCTCACTTAGTAAATGCCTACCACCCTTCAACACCTGGTTCAGATCTCTCCTGCAGCAGGGGGGCTTCTTCCCACAGGTCAAGCTCAGGTGAGAACTGCAGCATGTTCCCCCTACATCCTAGGAACTGCCTCCCCAACTGTGAGTCCCAGTCTTGTTCTTGTCAAAAACAGTTCTTGGTACAAGGCAGTATCGCTCAGCTTGCGTGAGAGGCTGAGGGAATATGGAGGATGTGCTCTGGGAACTAGTTGAGAGGAGGCAGAATGGGATGCAGCCCCTCCTCTCCCCCTTTTTTTTTTTTTTTTAAAGATTTTATTATTTATTTATTTATTTATTTATACAAGGACTGGGTACAGTCAGAAGCACGGGAGGGTGAGAGAATTCACCAGAGCCAGAGGGGGGAGCAGAGCAGGCAGAAGGACCGAAGCACACTGCTGAGGGGAGCAGCGGGCGGCAGGAGAGGTCTGCGCAACGAACCCCTTTCATCTGCTTGATGTTCACAGAGAAACTGGAAACTACTGAACTAAGAAACTCCTCAGTGCTGCCCGAGCTGAGGGCTGGCGGTGCAGGGGGAGAAGACAGGCAGCGTGCTGCCCTCAGGAGCTGACCACTGTGGGAGGAGCGGGGGGACAAGCAAGTTCCAAAGCGCTCACTTAACATCAGTGACAGGTACTCGGAAGCTGTGACCTTAAGTGAGATGTACAATGACATCGCTGTGTTCAGTGTCGGCCCAGTCTGTTTATTCCTCATTGACTTTATAATAAAATGATGTTGAACAAAACGTGATTCAAGGTCCTGCTTGTGATAATGACAACGTCCATTTTGATAAGTAGTCAACAGAAGGAAGTCAGGGTGGGGGCAGGGACAGTGACTTCTGATAAGGCCATCAGGCCAGGTCTCATTAATGAGGTGACTTTGGTCCAGAACTAGGAAGAGGCATTAACAGACACTCAAGGAGGTGCTGGGGGGCAGAACAGTGAGCAAAGGCCTGGAGGTGGGAATGAGGTTGGCACATCCGAGAGGCTAAGGCAGTGGAGCAGTGAATGTGGGGGATGAGGAGGACACAGTGGTCATGGTGCCGCCCAAGGGGTTCAGTGAGTGGTGAGCAAGACAGAGATTTGGGGGGTGGGTTGAGGGGATGACGGAGAGATCAAGAAAGCAAGTCAAGGTTTTCTCATCCTGTGCCACTGAACTGACACACAAGGTAACTCATGTCCTTGTGTCAAATAGGATCGCAGCCTCCCAGGGCAGGCCGAGCGCTAAGAGCCTTGTGTATTTGCTTCCAAACCTGCTTATGCTAGCTGTACTCATTACCACCGAATTAAATCAGGGAAAGGGAGGTGTGAAAAGATATACTTCTGTAAGAGTTACGAGGAAGGTTTGAAATGTCTTGATAAAGGCATAGTTTGTAAAGCAAAACAAAAATGCTACCATCAAGTTATACATAAACAGGACAACTATAAAAAGCTGGGGGGAGAATCATAAAAAGTCAGATTGCTTTCAAAATGGCTTCCACTTAAAAGAAAAAATAAAAAGAGGAACTTTTAAACAATGAATTCTGGGTGCGGTTTATGCAAGAGACTATTAGGGCACATGCAGGCACACCTCACAGACACTGTGGGTTTGGTTCCAAACCACCACAATAAAGCAAGTACCTCAATAAAGCAAGTCACACAAATTCTTTGGTTTCCCAGAGCATGTGAAAGTTGTGTTTACACTACACTAGAGTTTACAAAGTGTGCGATGGTATTATATCTGAAAATAACTGCTAAAAAACTTGACACAGAGATGCAAAGTGAGCACGTGCTGTTGGAAAAATGATGTCAACAGACTTGGCTGGACGCAGGTTTGCCACAAACCTTCAATTTGTAAAAACTGCAGTAACTATAAAGTGTTAATAAAGTGAAATACAATAAAACAAAGTATGACCTTATCCTCCAAAAGCAAAAGTTTGACTCAATATCCAGAAACGAACAGGTGGCAGTTTACAACTTGCAAGCCCGCGCTCACTTCTAATGGTTAGAATTCTCCCCTGGAACAGCACGGCCTCTATGAAAGACTGCATTTCCCAGGCTCCTTTGTAGAAGGATGTGGTCACATGATTCAGTTCTGACCAATGGGATATGAGCAGAAGCATGTGCTCAGCCACGAGCAGAGTATCCCTAATAGGCCCTTCCCCTGAACCTTCCCAGTGGGTGGAATGCAGATGCAGAAGCAGCAGTTGGATGCTATGCAATGAGGGCCTCCTCCTTGTGATGGCAGAACAATGAGAAGGAAGGTGCCTGGGTTCCTTTCCTGTTTTGGGGGTTGTGGGCACAACCATTATTTCAGAGAAAAGGAACATCTGAGACCACTGTGAGTGTGGGTCTTGTACAGTGGCTGGACTTGCATTTAACTAACACAGATTAACTAACATGTTTTGAAGTAAAACGTTTCTGGGGTGTCTGTGTTATATCCATTTTCCCACTTTTACTTCCTTCTTTAACAGACCAGAGTGGCCTTGACCACCTTGGATAAGACAGCTATGATGGAAAATGCTAGTCACTGCCCCCCATCCCCAAACACACACACGCTCCTCTCCTTCCTGCCAGTGGGCCAGTTAGCATATGTAGCTCCCAGTGTCCCTTGCAGCTAAGTGTAGTCATGTGACTGAGCCTAGTCAATGGGATGAGGAAGGAACATAGGCATCTGGGCCTCAGGGCACTGGCAGGTGCTCCTACACACACCCTCTGACTTGCCCAGGTGGAACCCAGCACAGTCTAAGTTAGTTGTGATCATGGAGCAGGAATCAATGCTCTAGGAGCAGACAGCGTAAGCAGCTAGATCTCTGAATGACTACATGGAGCAGAACTTCAGGGAGTCCCAGGCTGTCACCCCAGGACTGTCATGTGACTGAGAAATGAGTGTCTGTGTTCTTATATTTCTTTGTTTCAGCAGCTGAAGCAGGGTTGTCAAACTACAGACCAGTTAGGCCCACCTAACTGTAGTCTAAATCCTCTTTTATTGAGGATGGGCTGACTTAGTGGCTTGCTGCTTTTGAGAACAAAGTTTTATTGGCACAAGGCCATGTCCACTCACTTACATAGGATCTGTAGCTGCTTTTGTGCTGTGATGACAGTCAAGCTGTATACACAGTCTTGCAGACTGTCTGGCTCTTTAAGGAAGAATGAAGCCTGGCCTGAGCTTACTCTGCCCCTGCTTAACTTGAGAACACACGAAATGTGAGCGGCCCCACTCACCTCATCCAGGATAGCAGTGGGGTTGGGCCGCAGGACTGAGTGGGGTGGGGCAGGAGCAGGAGCATCCTCCTCTGAATCAGAGTCTTCCAGCAGCCTCCGTTTCCTAGTTTCTTCCACCAAGGCCCTGAAATGGGTGAAATGTGGGGTTGGGGATCAGTGCCCAGGATCCCCTCTAAGGCTAGGTATCTTGGTTCAGAAGCCTTTTCCTGACCTCAATGGGTGGAGGATGGGAGGCATGAAAATTCTTTTTTTTTTGGAAAATTGTTCTTTATCTCCTGAGGGCAGTGAGTAGTTAAGTACCTGGATGCAGGACCAGCCTGTCTGGATTTGAGCCCTAGTTGGGTGACTTTGGTGGGGCCCTGCTTGGACCTCCCTGAACTTTAGTCCCCAAAACCATGATGATGATCATGCCAATCTCAAATAGCACAGGCACCCAGAATGCATTCAGCAAACAGAGATTCCCCTTGTTGCACTCAGTATCAATGGTCTGTCAACTGAGTAGGGGTGAATTGATCACCTATGTTTGATCATGTTGTAGGTCCCAGGGATGCAAAAGAAAAGGTTCCTAAAACAGGGAAAGAGACTATAAAGCAGGAGAGGGGTGAATCAGCAAGTGTATTTCAGTAGATTCACTTGTTCTGCTCCCCACTCTGTCTCTGGTGAATCCTCTCGCCCGCCGCTCCTCTGGCCTACACTCCAGTTCTGCCATGCAAAATAAATAAAAAAAATTTTTTCCAGCTTCTTTTTTTTTTTAAAGATTTAGTTCTTTATGCATACAAGAGCTGGGACACAGGCCAGAGATGAGGGTGTGTGTGTGAGAGGATTCACCAGAGGCAGAGCAGGGAACAGAACAGGCAGACTGACTGAAACACACTGCTGAGGGGAGCAGCAGGTGAGACAGGAGAGGTCTGCTGCACCATGTGGGTTTCTCCCTGGCCAGCTAGGGATCAAACTCGTGCTGCAGATGCTGCAGATTGCTTCATAGTGCAGTGCTTAACCCCCTGCGCCACCAGGGAGGCCCAAAATAAATCAAAATTTAAAAATAAATAAATAAAAATTTTTAAAAAAGACAGAGAGAATGTTCCAGAAAGTGACAGGCAGCCTTAGAAAAGCATGAACATAGCAGGCCTGAGGCTGCATCTTTGGAGACGCTGGTTTGCAAGGTGCCCCTTGGCTGGAACCTGACTTTTGGGAGGGTCCCCAGGACCCCCTGATAAGAATTCTCTGGCCCTAAAAGGACTGTGCACATGGTCATGGCTGTCCTCCTGCAGTTTGGGATCTCGGTGTAAGCCAGGCAGGGGCACCCGTGACCATCCTGGTGAGCATCCTGGGAGCTGGATCTTCAAGAGCTCTTGGGGACCACACTTCATACATGCCAGCACCTCTCATTTGGGGGGAATTAAACTTGTCCTGTGGGATATTTCCCCCTGACCTCCCCAAATGCATCCCATGTGCCTTTTCCCTCTGCTCTCTTTGCGCTCCATCTTCCTGCTCCAGGAGCCACAGCTGTGATGATGACTACCCACCAAAACCTCAGGGTCCTCCTTGCCAACTGTTGAACCTGGGGGTAGTCGTGGGAACTCCAACACAGGTGCCATGACAGAGAAAGTGAGACGGGGGGAGGGAAGTGAGATGGGAGAGGGCAGGTGACCCTAAGAAGGCGACACCGGCACGGCAGCTCAGCCCCGCTGCCCCAGAGGACCCGACTCACGCTGTCTCCCTCTCGTCCTCCTCCTGCTCCTGCTTCTGCCGCTCCTCCTCTGACAGGCGATGCTGCCGCAGCATGGCCTCAAAGTCCACATGGGCCTGCCGCTGGTTCAGGTCCTTGAGCTCCTGAAGGTTCTCCAGAACCTCCATCTCTAGCTTGGAGTCCTTGGTTCGATTCTCCAGCACCTGGAAGGCAGGATGACATGGGGCTGAGTGTGCTGGGCTTTCACTCTGTGACATTCCCCACCTGACATCCCCTCCTGTGCAGTCCCGCCGCTGATCCATTTCGCAGATCAGAACACTGAAGTCTGGGGAAGGGAAATGACTGCCTGAGGCCACACGACTGGTCAGTTTTAGAGCCAGGTGGCCAGGTGGATCCTGACTCCTCTGAGTAAAAACAGCCAAGTGGATTTAAAATAGACAAACAACTATTCTGTGCCAGGCCTCAGGCTAAGACATTAACACATACAATCTCATTTGGCCTATGCAACAACCCCGATTTTACAGAAAAGGAAACCAAGGTGCAAAGAGGGGATGCTGACCACCCCAGGTCTCAGAGACATGGAGCCAGGCAGAGTTGGGCATGAATCCTGACATGGCTGCTTCCTGACTGTGGAATCTTGTTTCAATCTTCTGGAAAGTGGAAGTCACAGTGATTTGAAAATACGTTCAAAAATTCTTTGATGCTGCTCCCTTTAGGAAGTGGAATCTAAATCCCCTCTTCTTGAGGATGGACAGGCTTAGTGACTTGCTGCTAATGAAGAGAATGAGGAATGACACTGTCACTGCTAAGAGCAGGTCATTAATAAGCACAGTGGCTTCTGCCTTACTCTCTCTGGGCTCACTCGACTTGGGGAGTGATCTGTTGGCTGCCATGTTGTGAGGAAGCTCTTGCATTGCTGCGGAGGGGCCAGGTGGAGAGGAGCTGAGGCCTCCCATCAATAGCCATATGAGGGAGCCACCTGGTATTGGCTCTTCTGGTCCCAGTTGATCCTTCAGAGGAGACAAGACCCAGCCCACAGCTTGACTGCAGTCTTGTGAGAGACCCCAAGTCAAGGCAATCCATCTAAGTTGTCCAGGTGGGATTCCTGACTCTCAGAAATGATGATAATAAATGGTTGAAGCTGCAAAGCTTTGGGTAACTGTTATGCAGCAACAGCTCACTAACACCAGAGTCATGGCCCCTTGTTGGCGGGTGCAGCAGTAACTAGAGGAGCACATGGACAGCACAGAGCAAACCCCCTTGGAGACCTATTTCTCTCCCTGCTGAAACAGTTGGACCAGATCCGGCATGCTTTGCTTAGAAAACACAATTGGCAGAGGTGAGAGGATCCAGAAACAGATGACCATGGGAGTGGGTGGAGACGGGGGTGGTGGTGGGGGGAACACAGACATCCTATCGTTTCTGAGAAAAATAACAAAATTGCCCAATTGAAGGTGAAAATGAATTTAAGGAATACAATGTTAGTATTAACATTTATGGATTACTAAGGGCTGAGTCCTAAAACATTTAATCCTTACCACAATTATATGAGGAGGGTACAGTTATCCGACCCAGTTATAGATGAACATGCTCCACAGAGAGGCCCAGTGCCTTGCTCAAGGTCACGTAGCCAGGAAATGTTCAAGTGACCTTTTCCATCTATATTCCTAGTCTTAATACCTACTGGCCTAATTTAGTCTAATCCCTCCTGGTCATGGAAAGCTTCTTAGAAAACTGGGGAAGATGACTGCAGGAAGCACCTTGTGACCGGAAGTCCAACTTCCTGCTTCCCAGTATTCTCTTGCAGCCTAACAGTTTGTCATCAGCTCAGTGGCAGTATGGATTCACTGTCTTGGAGTTTATGTGGGTCAAGCGTCTGGTACAGCATGGCTGGATAGCACTCACCAGGCTGAAATCAAGGGGCTATGGGAGAACCAGGATCTTCTTCTGAGCTCATTTAGGTTCCTGGTGCCTGTGGGACTGAGATCTCCCTTTTCTTGCTGGCTGTTGACTGGGGGCCATTTTCTGCTCCCGGGGGCTGCCCACTGCTCCCTGGCATGTGGGCCACTGTGCTGTGCAGCTCCTTCACATCTCTGATGCCCTGTCTCCAACTTTAGACCCAGATAAAGGGGTTCAAGTGACAGGGCAGGCCCATCAGGGTAATCTCCCTTTCGTGAGACCAACTGTGCCGAGACCTACTCTAACAGCCTGATCACAGGTCCCACATCCTTATACACACAGCTCCTAGGGCTACGCAGGGTGGGGGGCCTGGAGGCAGGGGTCCTGGGAATACCTTAGAGTTCTGCTGATCACCCGTTGATTCACCCCTGCCCACAGACCTGAGGTGGAAAGGGGCACCAACACTGCCAGCATCCTCACACACACATGCATGTGCCCGACACACACACGGGGGCGCCTGGCTCACCTTCATGGGGTTGTTCAACTCCTCATCCTCCCGCTCCTTCTGCACCCTCTTCTCCTCCTCCTCCAGAAGCTTCTCAGCCTGGAAGTTTCGTGTGGCTCCGTGCTCCATTGTGTAGTCTGTGTTTTCAGGGTCTGTCTGGAAGGAAGGATGGACAGATGTCAACTCCTATGTCCCTGGTTATTGACGGCTTCTGCAGTCTGTGACACACTCTCTCTCAATGTTTCACTCCCTCGAATACCTTTTCTTTTTCTTATCTTACTGCTTTAGCTAGTGTGGTTCTTTCTAGTCTTCCTGCTCCCCTTTTGCAAAAACACTCAACTCTGTAGTATGGACTACAGAGGCTTCTCTACTTACCTCCTTGTAACCCCTCACCTTCCACCCTCCACCATGTTTGCAAGTAAGTCTCCAGACTTTTGCATATGTTGGCTTTTTGCCTTGTATGTATGCAGGCCTTGTATTTACTTCATGTTACTTCCTTAATTATAAGTTATATATCAAATATGCATAGAGCATACGTTTAGATGTATTGATAAAATGGAATAATGAAATAGAAAATGGTATCATGGGTTAGTCCCCAGAATAGAAAAATGACATCTGCAGAAAAACTAGATCTGCATCACAACTGGAAGCTTCCAATGTGGACTTCTCATTGTGACAGATGCACTGAGAAAAAGTATGATGTTCACAGAAAGGGTTGTGGTTGGGGGCAGGAAGGACCTCCTATGCCATGTCTGCAATTTTTCTGTAAATCTAAACGTATTACTAAATAAGTTTTTGTTAAAAAGGAAAGGAGGAAGAGTGAGCCGGTGTGTATGTGTATGCAGAACATGCTTTTTGAAAATCACATAAGAAACTATTACAAGTTTTTGTTTCCTATGCTTCAGGGCTGATGGACAGAGAGGGTGCAGTGTTAATCCTGCACTGCTGTTTTGAATTCTGTTTTCACAACATTCACATAAACCTATTGAGGAAACCCTAGTTATTTAATCACCTGAAATTCTTCACTAGGAAGGCCATTTTATAAAATTTTGCCATAGTTCCCCTAGTCTTTAAAATAAGCATTTTCTGCAAATAGCCCGAATGTTCATCAGTTAATGAGCAGATAAATACAACGTGGCATTTTCATACTGTGGAATATCACTTGGCCATGACAAGGGGGGCAGCTCTGACGCTCGCAATCACGGAGGGACCCTGAACACATGATGCTCAGGGAGAGAAGCAGACACACAAGGCCATGGAGTATGAGTCCACTGAGGAGAAACGTCCAGGACAGGCACAGCCACAGAAACAGGGAGGGGATTAGTGGATGTCAGGGCTTAGAGGAAGCAAATGGGGGGTTGAGGAGAATATTCTGGAATTAGAGGTGGTAGTATAGTATCCTGCAAATGTACTAACGCCATTAAACTTTACCCTCTGAAGGGTGAATTTTATTGTATGTGAAATATATCTAAATAAAGCTACTGTTAAAAAAGTAGCCAAAGTATATAATTTTAAAATGTACTTTCTATTTGTATTGATCAAACTGTATTTTTTAACCAAAGGAAAAAAGTTTATGGCAAAAAAATACTCAAAACACTACAGAAGCATGTAAAGAGAAAATTTTAAATTCTCCTCATCCTTTCCCTAAATCCTTAGTATCATCCCTTGAGGTGACAATTAAAGGCACAAACATGACTTTGATTGATTATGTAATATTCCATGGTATAGTATATCATTTGTTCAGCAAATCTTCTATACATCTAGGTTGCTTCCACTTTCTTCCTTTATAGATACAGTCATGAGCTGCTTAGCATCGAGATGCGTTCTGAGGATGCATGTAATGATGCAAACCCAGATGAAGAGCCTACTATACACCTAAGCCATGTAGGGGGGCCTACGGGACCCCACTGACCATGCGCCCTCACTGACCTGAATGTTATGTGACACACTGACTTCTATGCTGCCGTGAACATCTCCCCCTAATCTCTGTCTGTTTCTTGGGAATAAGGTGAAATGGGATTTCCCTGCAGCATGAAGATAAGGGTGGGGAGCTGTGGGGAGCCCCGAGGACCTCCCAGCATGAATGGGGGCTGGGGAGGAAGAACCAGCCTGGCTCCACCTACCTTGAAAGTGATCTCAGCCAGGCAGCGTGTGCACTTAATGTAGAAGCGGAAGATGGGCAGACCCAGGTAGGCCTCGTTCTGCACAGTCTCTTTGCGCGCATTGAACTTCTTGCCCTTGTAGATGTATTCTCCGCACGTCTTGCACCTGTGGGGAAGGACAAAAGGACTCAAGTCATCTTGGCGCTCTGGTTCATACTGGTAGGATGCTCTGGCAGTCTGGCACATGGCTACGTGCACACCTCCAGAGATGGGGCGCTCCCTACCCGAGGGCTGCCTGTTCCAGCACGTGCATGGACTTCCCCAACCTGACATGCTCTTCTAACATCTAACTGGAGTGTGGGAAGCATCCGGACTAGGTGAGACAGGTCGGTCACACTCCTAGAAGGCAGCCTGGTGCTCCTGGGGCATCTGGCCTCCAGAAGGGATGAATCTACCAAGAGGAAAGTCAGAGAGATCACATGGAGCAACGCAGAGCTCTTGTCACCCTTCCCCTGGCTGTCCTGCTCAGTCCCTGTGCTCCCCAGGCCCAGCACACCAGCCTCCTGGCTACCCTGCAAACACCCCCAGTTTGGTCCTACCTCTGAACTTCTGCTGTTGCAGTTCTCATAGCCCATGTCACTCTTCACCCTTCAGACCTTCAGAACCACTGGCATCTGTTGTGTCATTTCCCTGACCACATCCTCCTTCCCTGCCACCAACCCTGCTGCCCAATTTACTTGTTCCAAGTACACCTGGAAGGACTGCATGATTTTTTTTTTAAAGATTTTTTATTTATTTATACAAGAACTGGGGTACAGGCCAGAGGTGCAGGAGGGTGAGAGGATCCACCAGAGATAGAGCGGGGAACAAAATAGGCAGACTGACTGAAATACACGGCTGAGGGGAGCAGCAGGCGAGACAGGAGAGGTCTGCCGTGCTATGCAGGTATCTCCCTGGCCGGCTGGGAATCAAACTCCTGCTGCAGAAGCTGTAGACAGCTTCACAGCACTGCGCTCAACCCGCTACACCACGGGGGAGGCCCAGGACTGCATGATTATTGTGTATTATCTCCACTTATCATACTGTCAACTCCTGGAGTCAGGGACTTTGTCAACCTTGCTCTCCACAATCCTACTACACACTTGGCCCTGGCAAATAGCAGGTGCCCAATTAAAGACTACTGAATGAAAAAATTTAAGGCACACAGGAGAGAGTGAAAATAAACAGGTAACAATATGTAGCTATGTAGTGAATGTCACTGAATAAAGGTACTTTTTACCACCAGGTGTATCTGGTTTCAAATACAGCCATGTGCTGAATAACAGTGTTTGCTTGGGTACAGGCTGTACATGTGACAGTGGTCCCAACAGGCTGTGCCACCAAGGGGCTAGTGTCCTTACACGCTATGATGTCTGCACAACAATGACATCACCTAATAGTGCCTTTCTCAGAACATGTCCCCAGTGTTAAACGTCACATAATTAAGACCCCCAAGCAGCACCACTGGGAACTCTGAGAGGGCAGGAAGATTAATCCTGAACGAGGAGGGAAGCAAGGTCTGTGGTCACTGGCTCACTGGGTCAACATGTGCACCAAAAACAGCGACCTGGGCTGACCACTGGTGATGAGACATCATTCTCTACCGACACAGACACTGGGTCTGTCTGCCCTGACTGGGCTGTCAGGGGTGGCGGGGGGAATCATGCTCACCTCATGTTGAAAGGGGCCATCAATCGTACCACGTACTGCCGGTCTTTGGGGAGTTTGAGTTTGGGGATTTTCGATGGGTCAAAGTCGGGAGGGTAATATTTCTGTGGGGAAGAAAGGAATGTTAGGGGAACTGTGTTGAGACATAGGTTGGATTCCTCCGCTCTGGCTATTACTTATCCTCTCAAAGACTGTTTCCTCATCTGAAGAACAGATACCACCCACCCACCCATAAGGATTTGAGAGCATGGCATTTAGCACAGCGTCTTGCACACAGAACCACACAGAAATATGGAAATACAGATATATCTCATTTTGCTGCACTTTGCAGATATTATGCTTTCACAACTGAAGGTTTCTGGCAACCCTGAGCCTAGCAAGTCAATCGGCCCCATTTTTCCAAAAGATGTGCTCCCTTTGTTTCTGTATCATGTTTAATTAAGAGGTGTACATTTTTAGTCTTAATGCTATTGCATACTTAACAGACTACAATATAGCGTAAACATAACTTTTAATAATCACTGGAAAACCAACAAATTCATGTAATTTCCTTCATTGCAACGGACTGAGGTACACCTGTAGATGCCTCCCAGGTGGCGCCTCAAGATGGAAGAGGTTTCACAGACATGAAGTCCAGCACACTGCACTGAAATGTAAGGAGACTGGGGCTGGATTCCTAATACAGATGTTTAAAGAATGAGGGCGCTGAGCAGAGAATGTCATCAGCTCCACCTCTGAACCCCGGGCTCCTGGCAAGACCATGGAATCCTGGTCTTCATATTCTCCACTTACAGGACCGAGAGGTCAGTTCCTTTCTAGGGGCACACACCCTCCTGGGGTGAGAGGGGCTGGGCCTCAGAATTTCAGAGCTCTCCTTCCCAGAAGCAGAATTCTGCCTTCCGAGTGGGTCCCTGCGCCCCGAGTGGGTCCCTGCCCCCTCCTCCCCCAGGACAGGCAGGTTTTCCCTTCCAAGGAGGGGAGGAGACGATGAAGCCCTTGTTACGGTTCCCCATGAGCAGAGAACCAGAGCTTAAGAAAGTGCAAGTCCTGTAAGTAAGGAACAGTATTGACTGGCGACCCCAGGCAGGGCGGGGATTAACAGACACGTCCCAGAAGTCGCTGCTTTGGGGCGGGGGGAGAGGGGAACTACCAGTATTTTTAGGAAGGCCCGCCCCAAGGGAAATAACCAAATAATTTCTTCGGAAAACCCTTCCGGGAAGGTGAGTAAATAGCCCGAGCCCCGCGCCCAGCAAGCTGAATGTGGGCTGGCGTAAGGAAGGTCCCGCCCCCAACGGAGGGTGATTGGGAGGAGTTTGGGAGGCCCCGCCCCAAACGGAAGGCCGGTCGAGAAGGAAAAGGTGTCCGTAGCTCACGGGAACCCCGCCTCGGCCGGAGCTCCGAGATGTCCCGTCCCGGGCAGAAATCCCTAGCCACAGAACACTTACGTTTAAAACTTTTCGTTCCGACATCTTTGCCTCCTACTCTTCTCGCAAGCCCGAGAGAACTGATTAGGTTCGGGGGGTGACGGAATTCCCCGGCCGTCCCTTCCACTTCCGCTACGTGACTTCCGTCGGCCTCTATTATTGGTTGCAGCTGCGTGTCTTGCCTTTTTCATTGGCTCTAATCCCGCCTGTCAAGGTCCGAATGCTACTATCTTCCTTCCGGAGTTGTAACCTCGGTGGTGAGCAACAAAGGTTCCGGGAACCGTCTGGGTTTCTAGGAGTTCCGAGGAGGTGCTGCGCCCCTAGAGGTCGGCAGCGATGCCTTAAAATTTTGTAGCAGTACGAGGTGGCTGCTGGTCGCGACTTTCCCTGTTATTCATTCATTTATTCAACAAATAAAGCGCTGTGCCGATTGCTTAGCCTGTGTGCTAGGCTCTGGGAACCCACCCGCCGTTCCTGTGCTCTTAGCATTCACGTGGGGTTGGGGGCAGGTCCCACGGGCTGCACGGGTCGCTACAAAGGAGTGTCTTGGAAGCCCCCACCTGAAGTTTTGTTAGGGGGAAAAGGATGTCCCAAAGCGCGCGAGGACCCACAGCCAGGAACCCGTTTAATATCGGGGTTGCTCTATAACAGTTTGACACAACGACGAGGCTCCAAACCCACCTCCCCCTTACACACCCTCTAGCTCTCAAATGTTCCTCCATTGCCTGGCCACCTCATTTCTTCTTCAACCTGTTTGTTCTGTGACAGATATGTGTTCAATCACTAGGGACATATCAGGTAGAAACACATAAGATTCCTGCCTTTCTGGGGATCACTGTGTCTGGTGGGACAGATGGACAATAAACACACAAAAAGGGCCCTTCTCAGGCCTGGTAAAATATCTGAAGACAAAATAGGGTGACACTGGAAAGCTTTAAATGGTATACAAGTTTCCTACTTCTGCTATAGCTAATTACCACAGACTAGATGTCTTAACACACTTTTATTATTTTGTAGTTCTTGAGGCTGGTTCCATCTGGAGACCCCAGGGGAGAATTCATTTCCTTTGCTTTTCCTGCCTCTGGAGGTGCCACATTCCTTGGCTCACACCCCAGCATCACTCTGACTTCTGCTAACATTGTCACTTCACCTTCCACCTCTCCCTATAACCTTCCTGTCTCCCTCTAGTAAGGACTCTTGTGATTATATTGTGGCCACCTGATAACCTAGGATAACCCACCTAGTGTTCACTAGATGAACGCTCCTGAATCTTTAAATGAAGGATCTTCAAGATTCTTAATCACACCCGCAAAGTCCCCTTTGCATGTAATGTACCATCTTCATAGGTTCTGGGGATTAGGCTGTAGGTATCTTTGGGGTGGGGCGGGCACATTATTTTGCCTGCCATAGATGAGGTAGGGAAGGCTTCTCAGAGGAGGTTACCTTTGAACAGAGACCTGAAATCCACTTAGAGTTTCTCTGACCTTCGGGGCCTGCCTGCTTTGCCCCTTTCTCAGAGCAATCTTTCCTAGACAAACTCTTGTTCCATTTGTGTCCACCCACAGTGGGGCTCACATCTGGGCAGCCATCAGAAGGTGGGTGAACCAAACTGCTGGATTCCACTGTCCCATCCAAGGCAGGACCCCCCAACAGCCCCATTCTGACTCCTCAGCCTGGGTCTCTTCCTCTGGTCCAGCCCCGACCCCATCCATGGGAGTGGTGCCTCACTGTGTGTGTGGCCTGCCCTGCTCTCCCCTTAGAGTCCTCTTGGGTTTTATCTGTTGATGGAAGGGAGGAGTCCTGATACCAATGATAATGATCCTTTGCTTTTTGTGTGTGTGCCTTGATTTGTGGGGGGGTTACTTAAAAAAGCTTCACTTTTGGGGCCTCCCTGGTGGCACAAGGGGTTAAGCACTGCACTATGAAGCAATCCGCAGCCTCAGCAGCACGAGTTCGATCTTCAGCCCACCAGGGAGCAACCCACATGGCACAGCAGACCTCTCCTGTCTCACCCACTGCTCCCCTCATCAGTGTACTTCGGTCAGTCTGCCTGTTCTGTTCCCCACTCTGTTTCTGGTGAATCCTCTCACACAAACACCCCTCCCCTGGCATCTCTGGCCTATACCCCAGCTCTTGTATGCATGAATAAATAAATCTTTTAAAAAAAAAGCTTCATTTTTTTATTTAGCTTTCTGACTCTGTGCTTGTGCCTTCAACACTTTTCATAATGATTTTCTGCTCCTCTATAAGAAAAGCCCGTTTGATCCTGTCCCTGTCATGGACACATTTAGCACACATGGAGCCACCACAGTCCCAGTTGATGTATTTTTTCATTTTGATGCCTCCTAAGAACTTCAAGTCCCACACAGGAACCCCTCAAAGTCAGCCTGGGCACATATCACGTGCAGATTTTGGTGCTTTCCCTACCTTCCTGGTATAAAGGTAAACAATGCTCACCAGGGGTTGGGGACAGCTTAGTTCTGCTAGAGACTGTGTTGTGGGGTAGCCTAGACCGGTATGTGAAACACTGGACCATTCTGAATACCTCTAGACACCAACCCCAGAAGAGGAAAAGGGAACAATTGTCCTTTTCTAATTAAATGATAAAAAAGTATCTCACATCCAGTTACAAAGCACCACACTGTGGTCAAAGGAGGAAGCACACCCCCATTTCACAGACTGAGAAACTACAGTTCAAAGAGTCACTGTTCCAGGATTGATATGCAACTTGGCAGCAGCAGACCCAGGCCAGCTGGGTACCATCCTTTGAGGGGGTGACGATGACGATGATGACGATGAGGGAGAGGCTGGTGGAGGCCACGGACCCACCTTGTAGGTAGCTGGGAAACCACTACTTGCCCAGGGTCACCGAGGTAGCGGCAGGGAGACTCCAGTCGCTGGATTCCCCATAGTTGGTGAGGTCTTGAGCAGCCACCTGGATGCAGTACCTGGCTTGGGGCCTCACAGCCTTGAGGGTGAAGGATGTGGCTTCAATGGGCCCCACCTGAGAACACAGAGGGCCAGGTCAGTGTGAAGGCAGAGGCTGGGAGGAGCCTAGTGCACAGAACTGCATGCCCCGAACCTCAGTCTTCCTGCTCCAGCTGCTGCGACTGAGCCCCAGCTGCCCTTCCTAAGCAGCGCAGCTGTCCCCTTCACATCTTTGGCCTTCTTGCTCCTAACTTGTCCAGACTTCTGGGCACAGCCCCAATACCAGCTCTCAAGAATCCTTCCTAGGGATGCCTCAGCAGCAGCGGGAGCCCTCACTCATCAGGACCTGGGTCCCCAAGAAGCCCCCTCTACCCCAACTCTTTTAATCATGGTGAAATCCACATGGCATAAAATTAACCATTCTAAGGTGGACAATTCAGCAGCATTTAGTTCATTCACAATGTTTTGCAGATATGACATCTATCTAGCTCCAAAGTATTCCAAACACTGGAGCCTCCTCCCCAAACACTGGCACCCACTAATCCCCTCTTGCCTGTACTGGACATTTTTCATCAGTGGACTCACACCAAGTGTGACTGTGTGCATCTGGCTTCTCTCCCTGAGTTTCATATGGTCAAGGTTCAGCCTCATTATAGCATGTGCCAGAGGCTCAAACCTCTTCATAGCCACGTATACATTCTGTTGTACAAATGGAACATGCCATGTGTCCGTTCACCCAGTGGGTGGATAGCTGGGTTGCCTCTACCTTCTGGCTGCTGTGAATAGCACAGCTATGAATATTCATGGACAAGGATGTGCTTGAGTCCCTGTTTCCAATCCTTTTGTGTAGATACTTGGAAGCAGAACTGCTGGCCTACCTAACTTATGTAGGAGGCCCCAAACACCTTTGCACCTGCCCTTCCCTCTACCCAGGACTTTCCCTGGTCCCTTCCTTCTCCTCACCTGGCGGTATCGGGTAGCTCCATGACGCTTGTAGCGGATCCGGTACTTGAGTGAGAAGACCTCTGGGAAGGGCCAGGACTGGGGGGGTTCCCATTGTACCCACAGCCGCTGCCCAGGGAGGGGCCTCAGGTACACACCTACCGGAGGGTCTGGCTTGACTGATGGACAAGCAGAAGGTAGAGTCAGGGCACAGCAGATCCAATCATTCATCCACCCACCCCCCCACCCAACCAACCAACCATCCAACCAATCATCCAACCAACCCTCCATCCATCCACCCACCCACCCAACCAACCAACCATCCAACCAATCATCCAACCAATCCTCCATCCATCCAACCAACCAACCAATCATCCATCCAAACAACCAATCATCCATCCAAACAACCAATCATCCATCCATCCATCCATCCATCCAATCAACTAACCAAGCATCCATCCAACCAACCAACCAACCAACCAATCATCCATCCAACCAACCATCCAATCATCCATCCATCCAACCAACCAAGCAACCATCAAACCAACCAACCAACCATCCATCCATCAATCCCATCAACCATCCAACCAACCAACCATCCATCCATCCAACCAACCATCCAACCAATCAACCAATCATCCAGTGTAATCAACCAACCAACCAACCAACCAATCCAACCAACCAACCAACCAATCATCCATCCAACCAATCATCCAACCAACCAACCAACCAATCATCCAACCAATCAATCAACCAACCAACAAATCATCCAACCATTTAACTACTGTGAATCATGCTTTATGGACATTTGTTGTACACAAATTTTTGTGTAAGTTTTTATTTCTCTTAAGTCTATTAGAGCTAAAATTGATGGATTATATGGAAATATATGTTGAACTCTTTGTGGCATAGCCAGACTATTTTTACTCTCCACCAGCAATATACAATAGTTTGCAGTTTTTAGTAATATGCTCAGGGGTAGTCTCACTGAAGAGGTGACATCTAAGGGCCTTCCTGGTGGTGCAAGGGGTTATGAAGCTATCCACAGCCACTGCAGCATGAGTTTGATCCCTGGCCAGGGAGCTACCCACATGGCACAGCAGACCTCTCCTGTCTTGTCCACTGCTCCCCTCAGTAGTGTATTTCAGTTAGTCTGCCTATTCTGTTCCCCACTCTGTCTCTGGTGAATCCTCTCACCCCCACACCTCTGGCCTGTACCCAAATTCTTGTATGTATACATAAATAAATCTTTAAAAAAAAAAAGAGGTGACATTTGAGTAGAGGTCTGAAGATCCTGAGGGATGAACCATGTGGAGACCTGGGGGAATTCCAAGTGAAGGGCACAGCACATGCAAAGATCCTGGGGCAGAAACACTACTGGAATATTGGAGGAACATCAAGGAGGCCCATGTGGCTGGAGTAGAGCAAGTGAGGAGGAGAGAGGGGGGAAGAAGAAGGAGGGGACAGAGGAGGTTGTACAGGGCCTCAAAGGCCAAGGTGAGGACTTGGGCTTTGACCCCTGTGGAGGGGGAAGCCCTGAAGGGATGTGGGCAGAGGGGTGGGCCCTGACTCAAGTGGCTGTTTTGAGGAGGACTATGGGGGTGAGAACAGGAGCCTGGGACAAGGGTGAGGGTGAGTATGCTGGTCCAAGTGGGTAATGATAATGGCCAGGCCCTGTCAGACTCAGGAAGGGGAAGAAGTAGGTGGGTTCTTGTTGACTGTAAGGGTGGAGCCAACAGGATCCATGATGGATGGACAGAAAGGAGATAGTAAGAGGGGAGGAACAGAAGCAAGCTATGCACCCTCCACACCCCTGCCACTGCCCCACTCACTGATATGCTCTGGGACAATGGACACAAAGCTGCTGCTGACACCCCAGGGGTGGATGGCTGTGATGTTGAGCACGTAGGGCACCATGGAAAACATCTGGACATCTGGGATGGTGCAGCTGGTGGCCTCTGGTGTGGGCTGGAGGCAGGGCTGGCTCTCCCCGTGGGCAGCCACACCAAGCCTGGACACAGAGTGTAAGTAACTATGAGGGCCCTGGACCCCGAGTGGGGACAGCAAGCAAGAAGCAGCAGAGAGGGGTCCTGCCCATGGTCTGTCACTAGCTGTCAGCTGTGTGACCCTGGGGGAGCCGCCCACCACAATATCATAGAGTCCTGGATGATGTGGGGGCAACAACCACAGGAGGTGTTAGGGTTCCAGATTCTAAAGACTTCCAGAGCACCGACATTCCAGCCTTAGAGTTCCAACATTCCAAGGTCTGGAATCACAGACTTTGGAATCTGAAATAAGATTTGATTTTCTCAATTTCTGAGACCCCAAGATTTCAGAGACCTCCAGATCAGCACCATCCATGGAACTTTCCACAGCATTCAAAATACTCTGCAGTTTTTTGGAACCAGAGGTGGCTGGCTATTCAGCCCCCAGCATGTGGCCAGCATGACCGAGATTTTTAAATGGTTTTAATCTAACTAAATGTAAAGCTTCAGTCTTCAGAAAAATCTGGAAACATTGTTTGGAACAACTCAGTGGGTGAATTTCCTTTTCCAAGCATAAATTTCATGAAACTGAGTCAGAGCTCAAGCATTTCTGATGAAAATTTAGCATTTGAATTGAAATGTATTATAGTCATGAAAAACACATGGAATCTTAAAGACAGTATGAAAAGAGGGGCCTCCCAGGTGGCGCAGGGGTCAAAGACAGAGCTATCAAGCTATCACTAGCCCTGCAGCATGAGTGCAGTCCTTGGATGGCCAGGGAGCAACCCACATGGCGCAGCAGACCTCTCCTGGCTCGCCCGCCGCTCCCCTCAGCAGTGTGTTTCAGTGGATCTGCCTGTTCTGCTCCCCACTCTCTCTGGTGAATCCTCCACCCTCCCGTACCTCTGACTTACACCCCAGTTCTTATATGCATAAATAAACGAATCTTTAAAAAAAAAGACAGTATGAAAAAAAAGAAGGCATAATACCTCATTAATTTTTATTTATTTATTTATTTTTAATAGAGGCATGTTTTATTTATTTATTTGTTTGTTTGTTTGTTTTGTTTATACAAGCACTGGGTATAGTCAGAAGCGCGGGAGGGTGAGAGGATTCACCAGAGCCAGAGCGGGGAGCAGAGCAGGCAGAAGGACCGAAGCACACTGCTGAGGGGAGCAGCGGGCGGCAGGAGAGGTCTGCGCGCCATGTGGGACCCTCCTCCGGTGGCCAGGGAGCAGCTGGGGATCGAACCGGCGCCGCAGAGGCCGTGGGCAGCTTCGCAACCCAGCGCTTAACCGCTGCGCCACCGGGGAGGCCCACCTCATTAATTTTTAAAATGTTGACTGCATGTTGAAATACTTTAAGTATTCAATTATATAAATATTATTAATGATAAACTTAAAATACATAAATATATCAACATGGTTTCATGTTAATGAGAAATATTGGAATATTTAAATGTTTTAGTAAAATACTAAAATGAATTTCACCTATTTAAAAATGTTTGAACATGGGTTCTAGGCAATTCTGAATGACACCAGTGGCTGGCAGCCCCTCTGTTGGACAACCCTCTCCAGAGCTCTGAATTTGGGGCTTGGCTGAATCTCCAGGGGTCCTGATCTAGGGCTGTCAAGCTCAGTTATAGAATCCCCAGGAAGCCCTTCCAGGTTGTCTGACCTGTACGTGGCAATGAAGGACGTGGGTCTGGTGGAATTGGGAGGTGCGGGTGGCAGGGTCCAGGAGCAGTCTACGGCGATCGGGTACCTAGAGGCCCTGCACCGCACCCTGGGCTGGGTGGGAGCTGCTAGGGCCCCCGAGGGAGAGGGAGGACCATGAATGTGAACTTCTGACTTTTCCTGGGATTGCAAAGCCCTACAGAGTGCTCAGCTACCCCCACCACCTCCCCGCCAGTCAGTGCCAGGCACACAGTACGTGCTCAACAGAAGTCTGTGAAATGAACAAATACATGAGTGGAAGGCACCGAATCATCTGTCCCTCCCTATAACCCACAAAGTCAAGGACTTAATAGTTAACTCTTTAAGAGCCCATTTTAGTAGACCATTTTCCAGATGGGGAAACTGAGGTTTAAGAAGTCACAGAGGAGACCTGGTAGTGGGAAATCCTGGTGGAAGGACACTTTGCTGTATTTGCTCTTTCTGCCAGTTTTGTTTTGAAGCACAAGAAATTAACGTGCACAAATCAAATCTCTCAACCTCTCCGGGTGGCAGCTGCCTCTCCCTGTGTCACTTTGGGGTGGGACTTATCCTCTCTGTGTCTCAGTTTCCCCATCTGCACAATGGGATGGTGACCACCTCCCACCAGCGGGCAGTGTGAGAGTACGCTCCCACCCCACCCGAAATGTTCTATGGCAGACAAAGTCTAGTCCCCTGGTAGTGTCCCTCTGCCCACGCCCCTCAAGCCCCAGTGGTCCCACGTACCTTCTCGCCCACCGCAGGGCAAGGAGCTGGCCCAGAGGGTGAGGGCCAGAAGCAGTCCTGGGGCCATGGCTCTGGCGAGCTCTGCTTTCAGGAGCCAAGGCAGCAAAGCCGCCTCGGCCAGGCAGGGACTCAAGTTCCGCCCAGCTCTCTGCTAAGGCCCCCCACTTCCCCTTCCCTGGATCTGGTTCAGTTGGTCTGTGGGGCCGCAGAGAGTCTAGCAATGACTGAGTGTCTCCAGGCCGTCAGGCCCTCCCCTGGGTACGTGGTATGGAAGGTCCCAAGGGGGGCGGAGAGAGGCAGCCAAAAAAGGGAGAAGCTGAGGCCTTTCCCAGCATGGCCTGTCATCCCGTCCTTCCTTCCGGGCTACAGCGAGGGGGAAACCCCAGAGGGGTGACATAAGGAAGACAGTGGGACAGGGAGGGGAGAGAGAGACAGATAAAAGGGGAGGGAAATGGAAACAGATACAGAGATAGGAAAACAGAGACAGAGATACAGAGACAAGAGAGAAACAGAGATGGGAGACCATGAGAAATAGGCAGAAACAAAAGACACACACACAGAGAAACAGAGACAGAGACAGAGAGAGAGAGATAAAGACCAGGGTGCATAGGGGCCCAGGCACCTACATGGCAAGAGCCCTTTGCTCTAAGACCATAGAGGCAGCCCCACTGTTGCTGGCTGTGCTTTGCACCCAGACCAGAGACCCCGAAGCAAACACAAGACCTGGATTGCCAGCCCCTCAGTGGACAGGCACATTCCCCACCCCCCATGTGATTTCTGCTCTGGAAGCTCAAGGAAACCTGGGGACAGGCCACATTCATGGGGGAGGGGGTTAGCAGCACCTACTGACTCCCCTTCCTTCCCCTCCCAAGGAAAGAGCCAGGAATCCCTTGGGGGGTTTCAGAGGCTGGGAGGCAGAGCTGGGACTCTCCCATCCAGCCGGGTCATGAAGTCGCATCCTGTCCTGACATACTTTATTCATTGTGAATTTTTTAGAGTCTATTTTGACTGTTTAAATTGTGTTTTAGGGAATGAGATTTTGGCAATCACCCTAATTCTTAATCCCTGCTCTGGCCACCTCCTTCCTTGCAGTGGGAGCCCAGCAATCATGCCACACGCTTGCTTTGGTCCTGTGCACTGTGAGCTTTTATTCCTGGAGTGGAACCTGTGGGGTAGGGGACTCGGGTTCTCCAGTGGGGGAGATAGGGGTCGGGGTCAGGGTGGGGTCTAGATAGACCAGTGGGGATCCCCGGTGGAGACAGCTAGAGAGTCAGGAAGGGGCCCAGGCTGCAAGTGGACAGTCAGAGTGCTTGCTGGACACCCCAGTGTGGGGCGGGAGGAGCGAGGGTGGAGCCAAGGAGGACATCAGTGCTCTGTGCTCAGCGCCCCTGAGCCTGAAGTCTTTGCATCTGTAAGATCTGGCTCAGAATCCGCTGCACGTCTTCATCCATCTGACCCTGGGTTAAGAAAGCCTGGACGCTCCTGCCCAAACTTCTCCATTCCACTCCCCAACCCTGGAAGCCATGACCCTCACCCATGACCAGCCCCCCACCATTCAGATGGGGAGAGTGAGACCCAGAGACCAGCAGTAGTGTTCCCAAAGCCAGGCGGGGACCGTGCTGGGGCAGAGAGGTGGTTGGGAGGGGTGACTCACCTGGATGGCATAGAGGAGGTGGCTCCGATACAAGGCCACCACTGCACTGTGGTCTCTGACAGCCTCCTGTGGGGTGGGGGAGGGGTGCTCAGAAAAAAACAACAACAACAAAAAAACAGGAAATTCCTCCACCCCCAGACACGTCAAAACGTCCCCCTCGCACCCTGAGCTCCTATTTTGCTGTCACGCACAGTGTGCTAAAATACTGAGCTGTTTCCCAGCCATGCCTGCCACCAGCCCATCTCCTGGCACCCTGCCCCGAGCCTGGCAGGGGTTGTACCTCCAGCTGCTCCTGCAGAGCCTTCACTTGGCCACGGAGGGCATCCACTTCCGGGGGTGCTGGGGCTGCTGGCTGGTCCTTCAGGGCCTCTTTAAGGCTGAAGACTTCCTTAGATAGTTCTGTGATCTGGGGTGGAGAGGGGGGGTGTCAGTGGTCACCAAGGCCAGGAATGGGGGATGGCGGCCTCCTCAGAGAGGCTTGCAAGGCATTCCCGTGGAGGCAGCACCTGGTCTGTGGGCCAAGTCTGGTCCGTGAGCTAAAAATGGCTGCCACGTTCTTAATTGGGTGGGGGGAAAGGAGTCAAAGAAGAACCATATTTGGCGACATGTGACAGTTACGTCAAAATCACATTTCTGTGTGCATGCCTAAAACATACTTGCTTCCTCGCCACGCCCACTCGTTTACATGTCATCCATGGGTGCTTTCCTGACGCAAGGGCAGAGTTGAGTAACATCTGCCCCAAGAGCCAAAAATATGGCCCATCTAGCCCTTTACAGTAAACGTGGCCAATGCTGTCACATCCTCTCTGGCATTCTCTGGAAAGTGGAGGCTGATGGAATAAGAGGGTAGAAGCAGCCTGGCCTGGCGGGGCTGGGGTCAGACAGCCCTGGGTTTGAATCCCTCCCTACCCGTTGACCATTGGAGATTTGGGTTAAATGAACCCATCTAAGGCTCAGTGTTCCCCTAGAACACTGACCTTTGTAGGTTACCAGAACTCTAAACAGAGTCATGTTGAAGCTGGGCCTGGCCTAGAGCAGGCATTCAGCAAATGCTGGGCTTTATTGTAACTACAGAACAGAGGTTCTCTACTAAAAAGGAATCTGCTCCTTCCCCAAGGGTCATGTCTGGAGACATCTGTGGCTGTCATGACTGGGTGTGTGCCTGGCATTGAGAGGGAGGGATCGACTCCCCACAGAGAATGAATGACCTGGCCCCAAATGATAGCAGCAACAGAAAATAATTCTGCTACAAATAAACCATAATCCCTACCACAGTTTTATTTTTATTTTTATTTTTTTTAGTTTTATTTTTATTTTAGAGTTGGAAACTGAGATTCCGAGACATGAAGTGACTTGTCCAACATCATACAGTGAGCTAGGGGACTCCCCTGGGGATTGGTGGGTTACACCCACTGTCCAGTGATATGCTGGGTGACTCACTCGGCCTCCTGGAGCCTAAGTTTGCTAATCTGGAAAGTGGGGATATAAATGCTGTGTGGCTCATAGCGTTGTAAGATGATTAAAAATAATACTATGTGAAAAACACCCACTCAAGATGCATAGTCTGCTACTACCGTCATTTGTATTATTTAAGGACAGAACTTGGAAATCTGGGTTTGAATCCTGGCTGGACCAGAGCAGGCTGTCTGTCCTTGGGTACATGGCTTCGCCTCTCTGTACCTCAGACGACCATTTGGAAAGTGGGCCGGTTCCCCAGTACTCTTTCAGCTGGGCCATTCTTAGGGTCACCCCAACCTCCGTTGAATAGGGGCCGCCTGACTGAGCATAGAAAAAGAGGAACACACCTTCTTGTCTTTCTCCTTGGCCCTGTCCAGGGCCTCCTGTGCACGGCTCTGGGCCTGGCGTGCCCGCTCTGCCTCGGTACGCAGTCCCCGAAGCTGCTGCTCTGCCGTGGCCAGCTGGGCCTCAGCCGCGTGCCTCTCACTCTTCATGAACAGTGCCTCCCGCTGCACCTGTGGCCCAAGCCCATGTGTGATCCTAAAGACATTTGGACCCCAAAAATGTCTGGAACATAGAGTTCCTCTGACTCTTCTATCTTGGCCAAAGGATGTTCAAGCTTGTTTTGACTTGAGGAGTGTGACTCAGGGAAATTCTGGATTCCCCTGGGCACTATAAACATTCTACCCCTGCCAAGCACCTCTGGCCCACCAGCTGTGTTGCCTTAGACAAGTGACTTAACCTCAGTGTCTCCTCTTATAAAAATGAGGGTAATAGCAGCCCCCGACTCACAGGGTGCTTGTGAGGGTAAAATGAGTAAATACTTGAAAATGCTTTAGAATAGTGCTTGGTCCTATGATGCTTGGTACACAGGAAGTACTACATTTGAGTTGGTGACAATATTGCTGCTGTTACTTACTATCATTAACATTATTGCCATTATAGGGGCCTCCCTGGTGGCCTAGGAGTTAAATCTCAGCACTATCATAGCCATGGCCTGAGTTCGAGCCCCGGCCAGGGAGCTGATCCAGGCATGGCACAGCAGACCTCTCTTGTCTCACCTGCTGTTCCCTTTAGCAGTGTATTTCAGTAAATTGCCTGTTCTGCTCCCCACTCTGTCTCTGGTGAATCCTCTCACCACCCCCCACACCTGTGGCCTATACTCCTGTTCTTACATGCAAAATAAATAAATAAATAAATTAATTAGAAAAAACAGTATCACCATTATCATCAGGGATTTCTTTTATCTGCTAATGGTGTGAGGGTTTGTAGATTTCTAGCAAAATGTAGGGAAAACAGAAAAACTGGATAAAAAGCAAACAGATGTCCAAAAGCTGATGGCTACATTTTCACAAAAATATCAAGACTGCATTAGATTTGAAAAATTTTATCAGGGAGGGCAAAAGGACAGGATACATTGGTCCTTACAGAAAAAATAGCTCCAGGGGGAAAATGGACAATAATTAGATGTTCTGATGTGTAGTGCAGATTGACTACACATTAACAATAATAATAAAAAAAACCTAAACCAATGAATAAGATCAAACTTGTAAAATTGATCCCCAAAAGACAGGATCACAAGGAAAGTAAAATTTAGAAAATAAATATGAAGATGGGCATACTCAGGTTGTGAACTGTAGGAAGTAGATCTAGGATTTAACTGACTTAAAATAACATGTTCTTGGGAAAAAGAACAATCTGGCTGTCATTTATGGATTGTACTGTCACTGTGCTCTGTCATTTAAAGCATTTAATTTTCATGACAGGATTAGGCAGGGTATTATTTCCATTATACAGGTGAGTAAACAGAAGCTGAGAGGAAAATGCCTTCCTGATGACTGTGAACATAGTTTTTTATTCAGATTTGCTGAAACAGCTGCCAGTTTTTGTTGTTATTTTCCTAAGACAAGAGATAGGAGTCAAAAGTTCCATCATAAGGGACCAAAAAATATCCCTTGAGCTTTAAAAAAGCAAAGAAAACTCAGCATCAAAATCGGTAAGGTTAAAATAATTAGATCAAAACTCCCTGTGCATAATGCTCTCCTGCAGAGTGAATAAAAGTGTCAAAAATGATCACAAGATTAAATGCCAAGGTCAAGACAGCCAGTTGGAAAAAACCACAGGGTCATTTTGACCACCAGAGAAAATGGACATTAGTAAAAAACATCAGGCAAAAGGTCCAAGTACTACTTACAAAAATGATCCTACCTCACACCATACAGCCACATTGGAGATGATGCATAGAGGTGAATATGAAACTAAAGCAATAAGTTTTATTGCTTTAAAACATAAAAGACGGGGGCCTCCTGGAGGCGCAAGCGGTTAAGCACCGTACTATGAAGCAATCCGCAGCCTCTGTAGCACAAGTTCGAACCCTGGCCGGCCAGAGAGAAACCCACATGGTGCAGCGGACCTCTCCTGCCTTGCCTGTTGCTCCCCTCAGCAGTGTATTTCAATCAGTCTGCCTGTTTTGTTCCCCACTCTGTCTCTGGTGAATTGTCCCCCCCACATCTCTGGCCTGTACTCCAGCTCTTGTATGCATAAATAAATAAATCTTAACAACAACCAAAAAAAACCATAAAAGATGGGGCCTCCCTGGTGGCGCAGGAGTTAAAGACAGCATTGTCAAGCTATCGCCAGCCACTACAGCATGAGTTTGATTCCATGGTCCCCATCCAGGAAGCTGACCTATATGGCGCGGCAGACCTCTCCTGTCTCGCCCGCTGCTTCCCTCAGCAGTGTATTTCAGTGGATCAACCTGTTCTGTTCCCCACTCTGTCTCTGGTGAATCCTCTCACCCCCTATACCTCTGGCCTGTACCCTAGTTCTTGTATGCATAAATAAATCTTTAAAATAAAAAATAAAACATAAAAAACTACCTCTATGACCTTGAGTTATGCAAAGGTTTTATGAACAGATCACAAAAAAGCACTAAACATTAAAAAAAAAAGATGGGGTCAAAACATCCCATGTTTTCAGGGTTCAAACAGACCAAGTGGGTGTGCTGGGTGGGAGTCCAGTCATTCTCACCTGAAAGACCTCAGCGCTGGTCTTCTCGTGGCGCCGTCCCAGCTCCTCCAGCTGCCCCTCTAGTCGGGCCACATCGGCCTGCAGTGCTTTGACGATGCGGTCATGCTCCAAGCGGGCCACGCTGCCCACACGTTCCCGCTCCAGCTCTGCCCGCAGCCGGGCAGTCTCCTTGCCTGTGGCTACCACTTCCTGCTCCAGGCTGGCTGCCCGACCCCGCAGCTCAAGGGCCTCCTCCTGCAGCTGGTGGTGCTCAGCAGCCGGCACTGTTGACTGGCGGAGGGCCTCAGAGACCTCCCGCAGCTCTGCCAGGCCCCTTCGAGCCTCCTCACAGGCTATGGCCAGCTCAGCAGCTCGGGCCTCAGCTGCATCCCGGGCTTGGCCCAGTTCGGCAGCTGCCACCCGATGCTGTTCCCCTGTAGCCGTGGCAGCGGCCAGCTGCGCCCGTAGCACCTCCAGCTCCCGGCTCTGCTCCAGCCTTACCTCCTCCTGTTGGGCCAGCTCTGCCCGCAGGCCCCGGGCCTCCTCCTCTGCCAGCAGCCGGCCAGCCCGGGCTTCATCCAGCCAGGCAGAGGTGGCCTCCAGCTCTCGGAGGCGGGAGTCCCTCGCTCGAAGGTCCTCCCGGGCCTGCTCCAGGGCCGCCCGAAGTTGGACTGTGTCACCACCGCAAGCCCTGCTGACCCCAACGCCCTCGGCCTCACGCACTTGCTCCCGCAGCCGGCCAGCCTCGGCCTCCGCAGCCTCGCACTGGCCACGGGCTGCTTCCAGCTCAGCAGCTGCCTCCCGCTCCCGCTGCCGGAGCGCCTCCTCCAAGGCACGGATCCTGGTCTCAAGTTCTGCCTGCAACTTTTCCGAGGCCTCGGCCGCACCAGGGTGTAGGGCAGGGTCAGCGGGGAAGCCGGGGGCTGTGGCCTCCTCTCTCACGGCCTTTGTGTCCTTGGGTTCCACGTTCACGGTCTCTGTGCGCGTGAGCTCTGTTTCCACAGCGCCCACTCCAGGGGCCTTCATATCTGGCTCCTCTGCCTTCATGTGTGTGGCCTCTGCTCCCATGGCCTCTGCATCTGGGTGTCCTCTGTCTGGATCGAGGGCTCTCATTTCTGTGACCTCAGCCCCACTGACTTTTGTTTCCAAGGCCTCAGCTCCAATACCCTCTGCTTCTGTGGACTCGGCATCCATGGACTTTGTTTCTGTGGGCTCAGCCCCTGTGGATGCTGCTTCTAAAGTCCCAGGTTCTGTTGTTTTCACCCCTGCGGCCTCCTCTTCGGTAGTCTCCACTCCATTAACTTTGGTTTCTGTTGCTGAGGTGCCTTCAAGTTCTGTTTCCATTGTCCCATTTCTGGTGGTCTTCGCTCCTGTGCCACTGTGCTCCCCAAGGGCTGTCTCCTCTTCTCTGGGAGACTCCTGTGCTTCCTGTTGCTCCAGTGCCCGCAGGGCCTCTGTGTGCTCCCTGCGCAGCTGGTCAAATTCAGCCCGGAGGGAGTCATAAAGGGCCAGAGGTATGACCTCAGCCAAGCCATCTGCCTCCATCTCATCCTTCTCGAAGTTCTCTAGGATCTGGGAAGGTAGGGGGACAAAAGGGTGGCCATGCACCTCCCCTGCCCACACACTCAGCAACGTTCCCACACAAGCACTGGGATGCTCAGATCTGCCCCGCCCTACTCTTTGGGCCTCAGTTTCCCCACCTGGACCTTCTCCATAAGTTCCTGGTTCTGTCTGGTCAGTGTGGCCACCTGCTCCCGCAGCGAGGCCAAGAGGTCCTGGGATGATGGGCTTAGTCGCTTGGAGTGCAGTGCCTCTGCCCCTAGCAGGGATACAGAGTCAGTCTTTGGGGTCCCAGGCTGCAGGGGACGAGCACTGGGGATCTAGAGCCATGAGTCAGGGCCCCCAGGACAGGCAGGCTTGGGAAGATGGGCCAACCCCCCACAACAATGTCCATATGTGTGGGTCAAGTCCCCAGCTCCCAGGGCCCCTGAGACAAGGAGGGTGGGGGGCTGGGGAGGGATGAGGGCAGGGCGGTGGGTGGGGCTCACCTGGAAAGTCAGGCAGCTCACCCTCCTCGTCCTGCAGGGTGGCTACATCATAGCTGGTGTTCTCCCGCTCATTCTGTGGGTGAGGGCCAGGGTTCTGTTCAGGGTCCTGGCCCCACCCCTCCCCCCTTTGCCCCCCCACCCAAGAATCTGGAGTGAATGGAAGTGTTCGAATGTCTTTTTGACTCCCCACAGGCAATGGAATGGCTTTCTTGGCCCACAGGGATTTATTAAGCACCTACTATGTGCCAGGAGCTTCCCAGCTTCCCCGGTGCGTAACCACGACCCCAACCACGTGGGTCACACATGCAGTGTGGGTGCATAGAGCTCCGAGATGGTGGGGTGCACCCTCACACTGGGCCTTCAGTGTCGAGGTTACGTGGCACCCAGAGTGTCTGCAGGCATGTGTGTACCACATGTGCATATTTATGTGGCTTTGCATCTGTGGCTGCATGATGAGCGTGTGCGCACCACTGCGGCCTCTCCCGTGTATGTGATGTTCGTGTATGTGTAATTCTGCATTCACAGATGTGTTTGCTGCGTGGTTAGGGGCATTTACCTGCTGCATGTGCAGATAAGACTACAGGTACATGAGCGTGGTTGTCCATCCGCGTGTACATGTGTTACAGTACGTTTTGAGAAGTGTCCATTACGTGTGTGTGTTGGGCCTCCCCTGGTGGTGCAGTGGTTGAGCACTGGGTTGCGAGGCTGCCCGCAGCCTCTGCAGCGCCAGTTCAATCCCCGGCCACCGGCGAGGGTCCCACAAAAAAAAAAAATGCATTATGTGTATGTGTTGCCTGTATGATGGCATGTTTGCTGTTGTGTGTGTCTGCATGTGTGTAAGCATGTGTATTACCATGGTCATCATGACACAGGCACAGCCTTGTACCCCACTTCCTCGCATAGTGCACACCTACCTCCATCAGAGAGAGTCGGCTCTGCAAACTTTCCACCTCTCGCCCCAGACTCTCCTTCTCCTCCTGCTTCTCTGCCAGCAGCTGCTGCAGCTCTTGCACCTGGGAGGAGGGCGACACAAGGCTCAGCTGGCCTCCAGGAGGGAACAATGGAGAGTTGGGTTCCCACTTCCCCCACCTTCCACCTACCTGTCTCTCCAGGCTGTGGAGGGAGCTGGCCTCTGCCTCTGGCAGCTGATAAGAAGAGGAGAAAGGGCTTGTTTCTGGGCTGGGTGCGCGAGTTGGCGGGGTGTGAGGGGGGAACGTCTCCTCTGCTTAACTTGGGCTTAGCAGCCCTCCGTAGCATTCACAGGTGCACACCCAGCATTGCTGTGCCCTTACTTGCTCCACAGGAAATTACAAAGCACCTACTCTTTGCCAGGCACTGATCTGCTCACCCAATCATTGCTAAGTAATTGAGCACCTACTATATGCCAGTCACTGTTCTATCTGCTCATATGTTACTAAGCATTTACTACTGAGCACCTACTGTGTGCAGATATCATACTTCATTACTATTTGTTGAGTGCCTACTGTGTGCCAGGTACCATTCTGCCCATTGTTTTATAAAGATGCATTTTATTTATGCATCCAAAAACTGGGGTATAGGCCAGAGGTGGGGGGGGCAGGGTGAGAGGATTCACCGGAGATAGAGTGGGGAGCAGAACAGATGGATCCACTGAAATACTGCTGAGGGGAGCAGCAGGCAAGACAGCAGAAGTCTGCTGTACCATGTGGGTAGCTCCCTGTCCGGGGATCGAACTCATGCTGCAGTGGCTGTGGATAGCTTTATTGTGCTGATACTTAACCCCTTGTGCCACCAGGGAGCCCCTACCCAAACATTTTTATTGATTGCCTATTTTATGCCACTACTTCATTCATTCATTCACTCAACTATTTGTTTATCTTATAATTATCAGGCATCTACTGTGAGCCATGTCCGTCCTTGTGTGCCTACAGTCCAATGGGTGAATAGGAATTAAAAAAATGCTATGTCCAATAGCAATAAGCATTTTGAATAAAAATAAAGAGAGCTGGGAAGTGAGTATGGAGGAAGATGTTACAGTTTTAAATAAGATGGGCAAAGGAGGGGTCTTTCACAAGGGATCTTTTGAGCAAAGATCTAAAGGAAGTGCAGGAAGTTGCCACAGGGACATCTGAAAGGAGAGCATTCCAGACAGAGGCACAGTCTGCGCAAAGGTCCTGGGGCAGGACCATGCCTGCTGTGCTGCAGCAAGGAGACCTGTGTGACTGGAGCAGAGCGAGGCAGAGAGAGGGAGAAGAAAGTCTGGAGAGGTGGGGGCGTCCTTTCCCTAGAAGTGCATCCTGCCCCAGGCTTAGTCCCAGGCCTTTGTCTCTCCTGCTCCTCACCTCCTGCTTCCTTCGTTGCTGGTGCTGCTCCAGACCCCGGATCTTCTGCAGCAGGCGGCCCTTCTCTTGTCGCAGCCGCACAATCTCCTCATAGGCATCTCGATCATCCTGTTCTCCCCACCCGGGGACCCCCGCCTTTAGATGAGGTCTATGGATTGTCCCCTCTGATGCCTTCACCAGAGGTTCCTCCCCCTTCTGCCTGGGAGCCTCCCACTACTCCCCCTACGGCTAGGGCATCTCTCACCGGCATAGGGGTGCTGGCAGGGGGCTGAGGTGCCTTCCGCTTCTTGGGACCTCCTCGCTTTTCATGACTGGACACAGAGTTCTGGGGCGGGGTGAAGGGGACACTGGGGGACACACCCACCTCCCACCCAAATAAACCACCAGACAACCCAGGCAGCCTACTATCAGTCACCAACCCCAACTCTGCCCTCGCTTTCTGTGTGATTCTGAGCAAGTCTCTGCCTCTCTCTGGTCTTCAATTGTGCCTGCATATAAGGGCATGAGGCCACATTCCCTGAGCATTCCAGATCTTATTCTTTACTCTCTATCCCTCTCCATGCCTTGGTACTTCCCTCAGCTAAACCAGATTATCTGTAAGTTTCTTTTCCCTGTGGAACTGGGAAAGAGAAGAGGCCAAATCTGCTTCCTCTGACTAAACCAGCCCTCAGCAACTGCAACCTCTCTACCGCGCCCCCCCCCACACACACAACTCCAGGCCCCATATCCCCTAGTGTTCTCACCCAGTTCTGGGAATTATGTTGTGGATGCTGCTGCCACTTGGTGACAGCATACCCTGAAGGTACCATTCTTCCCAAACAGATTCTCCCAGTTCATAATCCTGGGGCACAAGTCCATTTCTTCCTTCTCTTCCCACCAAGCTTGGGGCATGGGTAAGGTGGTCGGTGCACAGGGAAAGGGGCTCTTTCACTGCTTAGAGATTCATACCTGAGATGATGCCTCGCCTGAGTCATCCTCTAGGAGGGCAGAAGAGAGAAGGAAGCAGGGTCAGGGTCTCTGACCTAGGGACTCATTTTCAGTGATAGGAAGGGCATTAGATACCTAGGGATCTTTGGGGGGAACTCCCAACTCCCAGAGAATCAGGAATTTTAAAGGAGGAATCAATCGCTTCAGCAGAATGATGATAAAGGGTAGTCGAAACTCTCCAAAGGAGAGGACAGTGGCATCTCCAGGATGGTGCCACTTCTTAGGGAAAGGCAAAGATCTGAAGCAGAGTGACCTAAGGAAGCAGAGTGGACCCCTAAAAGCTCTTGAGCTCCTTGAAACTGTCCTGAATAGGGTCAGGGAAGCCATGAAACCTCCTATAATGCAACAGATAGTGACACCTGGAAAGCATCCACAGTAGAGAGAAAAAGGGGTGACAAGAAACTGCCTAGAAGGAGGTAGGGGTGCTTGAAAATGCTTGAGGCGGGACTTGCATACCGCTGGGTGGTGAGGGGCGCTGGGCCGCCTCCTGTAGGAGGTGTAGGATGAGTTTGTCCCCAGCTAGGGCACCATAGTGAGCAGCATCCTGGCCCAGTGCGTCGGTGATGCCCGGCTGGGCCCCGCCCTGCAGCAGCACCTCTACTGTTTCCGGACTGGCCCTCTCGCAGGCCAGCATCAGGGCCGTCCTACCAGGAGAGGGGGCTACTGAGGTGGTGAGGACATCCTCAAACCCCACGCCCTCCTCAACACCCGGGACTGGGGTGGGGGAAGAAGACCAACTAGATCCCTTCCCACCCCCGCCCCGCCCTCCCCCCAACCCCATAGGAGACTTGCCCAAGGTCACAGCACACCATGGACCGGCTAGAGGAAAAATACTCACCTGCCCTGCAAGTCCTGGTCATTTGCAGCAGCCCCCTGCTGCAGGAGAAGGCGGCACAGATCTGTGTGACACATCTGAGCTGCTATGATAAGGGGTGTTGTACCTGACTGGGGTGGGAGAGGTTCGGAAAAGGGATGAGACAAGGCATGAGAAGTTGAGGAAACCTTCATGACTTCCCCTGAGCTCCACTCCAAACCTTTCCACACTTTTAAAAGAGTGCCTGGAATGTTGCCCCTTGGTGGCAGCGTACAGTGTCTTTCCCAAAGAGATCCCAGAGACTCACGCGATCTCGAGGATTTAGATGTGCCTTGAAGGAGCAGAGGATTTCTGAGCAGGAGATGCAGCCACCGGCCGCTGGAAAAAGAGAAGCAGGGAGTCGGGGGGGAGGGCTTAGGCATTTTCTGGGGGCCTTCTGCCTGAGTGTGATTCTTATTCTTTATTTCATAAGAAATTCCCACCTCCCCTGGAAAATCAGTAACAGTTATGACTCCCAGTGCACAGATGAAGTAACTGAGGTCCAGCCAGGCCTATGATGACCCCGTAGAGTCAGAAACAACCACAGTTGAGACCCAGGTCTGCTAACTCCTAGTCCCAAGCTCTTTTCACATCTTATCATGCTTCCCTTTTAAGATGGAACTTTTAACTGATTTTCATTATTTATTGTGTACCTACTATGTGCCAAACTCTCACACAGAAAGTGTTAATATTTACTGGAAGAAGCAGATGTCAGCTGAGGCTGGGAAAGCTTCTCAAGGTTTGATCTGAGTTCTGAGCTCTGAAGGTAAGAGGGGGATGTGGAGGTTATGGCACATGCGAGGGTCCAGGGGTGGGAAACAGTTTGGTAAAATGAAGGAAGTGGGGGATGGTGTGGCATGTATGTCCACAGCCCAGAGGGAAAGGACTTTGTGCAAGGTATTGCTAGAGAAATCTACAGACCCCATGTGGATACCTGCTGTGTGCCCAAGGGGAAATGAGATTTTGTTTGCTGCTGTAATCCCAATGCTCAACATAGCAGATGCTCAATAAATACTGAGTAAAAAAAAAAAAAATCAATGTGCTTAGTTTGACCAAAGGCATCACCGCCACTAGGTGACAGCACACTCCAACTGCAGGAAAATTTTATGTATGTATGTATGTATTTATTTATTTAGTGGGACCCTCGCCAGTGGCCAGGGAATGAACCAGCGCTGCAGAGGCTACGGGCAGCCTCGCAGCCCAGCGCTCAACCGCTGCACCACCAGGGGAGGCCCTGCAGGAAAATTTTAAACCAACAAAAACCTCAAAGCCAACCCAAATTTATCCTGTGTTCCCCAAAGGACAAACATTTCTTGAATCATAGTGAAGGTCATTCTCCAAATTCACAGGCCAGTGGACAGAGGCTGGACTGGCTTCTAGCTCAAGTGCATGGGTCCCTTTTCTTCCCTAAGGGAAGGCGTTTGCAGTAGATTCTGAAGCTGCTGGGAGCTCTGACCTTCCTGAGGTTTCCTAGGGGTTCCTCTAAGGAAATGACACCCCTACCCCCTGCATTGTTTTCACGTGGAGAAGGCCCCCTGGCAGAAGAACCTCCAAGCCTCACACTCCCTGGCCCATGGTGGGCAGGGCAAGGTTGGGCTGCACCCACCTGCATGGTGCAGGGCTGTCCACCCGCTGCTGTCCACAATGTCCACCAAACAGGAGGCCTGCGGACAGAGGGGCAGATCATTGGAGCAGTGCCATCAGCCTTCATTGCCTGATTTCTCTAGGACTGCCCCCTCCTTGGGGTCTGCTGTATTTCAGGTTCCTTGCCTCACCCCAAACCCTGACCACCTGCTCTATGGAGCCCATCTCCTTACCAGCCCTCTGAGCAACTGTCTTTGCTTTAGTGAAAGTTGTTAAGAAAGAAGGACTAGCTGGGAACCGAGGAGCATCTGGGAGTTTGAGGAATACATGTAAGCTCTGAGAATGGCTTTGACTATGAAAGTTGGGATTTGGGGAGAAGCTGGGGCCCAGGAAATATCTGATAACAGGAATATATCTTGGCTGTGGAAAGGACCTGGACAGTCAGGGGAGTATCTGGCTGTCCAGGGAGTAGTTGGGGCTCAGAAGTAAAAGGGATCATGGAATATCTAGGATTTAGGGAGTACCTGAGAGTTCAGGAAATTGCTGGAACTCAGGAGTAGCCAAAGCAAAGGAGTATTGAGGTTAAAGGGTGGGATTATCTAGGCTTCAAGGAGTATCTGAGACAAGAGAATGACCTGTAGCAGTTGCTTCAAGCACTCTGGGTGTCCATACTTGGCGGCCAAGTGGAGGGCATTGTAACCTGAAAGGAAGAGATTTTCTAGGGCTCTAGATACTCCAGGAGCTTCTGGCTGCTCCCCAGACCTGTGTCAACTATTTGTGATGAGTTCGTTTCCCTGCATCTGTTGTAGCAAGTCCCCAAGGTCCAGAGAGTTTCAAAACTGTGCTGCTCCCTGTGGTCAAAGACTCTCCATCTGATCAGTGTCACAATTTCATCTCAGCTACCCTCACACCTACCCTCCCCTCAAGTCCTACGGCTCCAGCTACTCCTCTGTCCCCAGCTACTCTACATGCTCAATTATAGTCATGTGTCACATAACAACAGGAATACATTTTGAGAAAATCATCAGCAGGTGATTTTGTCATTGTGCAAGTGTCATAGAGTATAACTGCACAAACTAGAGGATACAGCAGACTCCACACCTAGGTCAGAGGGTAGAGCCTCCTGGGACTCCCCATCATATACACTGTCCATACATGCACTGCCATATACGCCACTGAGCAAAACACCAAGTGATGCATGACTATACGCCAAAGCTCCAGTGTTACCCTTCAGAATCCTCAGTTGTTTTATGTATTCCTGCTAATCCACATACCCTTGCTATTCCATGTTCCAGCTGTATTCCTGTCTAGAACCTCCGACTACTGCATCCACCCTGCGCACTATGCTTATTGCCCTAAAGCTATGTCATCCCATGTCTAGTTACCCCCTGAGCTCTGACTATTCCCTTTGGCCATGAATTCTCATTTATTTCCTCAGGTCCCTTGTTAAGTCACACACCCAGATTCTCCTTTATCCTAGCTACTCCCAGAGCTTCAGCTACTTCTAAATCCCAGCTACTCCTGTACCTCAGTTACTCCCCCAAACTCTACTTGTTACTCTCATGTCTGTATATACTTCTCAAGATCAGATACTTTTCAAGATCAGATACTCCTTTGCGCCAACTTCTTCCAGTTACTCCTACCCACAAATTAACTCACCTTGCTTGGTGCCAGCCATGGTCTCTGTCCTTGAGCACTGCAGCCTGACATGCCCCAGTGCCTCCCTGGGGGCACTGAACAGAACCCCTTTGATAAGCAGGATACCCAGTTTATGAATCAGGGAGTGGCTGGACCGTCTGGTTGGGCACCTGGTCTGAGCCCGTCCTCCCTCCCCAGGGTCCCATGGGTACTACCTGCCCCATCTGTGCTCATGACGTTGGTGCCATGTGCCAGCATGACCTCCAGACAGCTGGCTGCACCCCTCATGGCTGCCAGGTGGAACCTGGAGGTCAGAGATCAGGGGTCAGCCACAGAGTGGCCACCACTCAGCCATCACACCCCCAGGGGGTGGGCACTCACGCAGACTTGCCCTCGGGGTCCAGCTTCGTTGGCACCAGGCCCTTGCGAGAGATGAGGGCGGCCACCCGTGCCGAGTCGTTGCTCTCCACAGCCTGCAGCAGCCGCTCATCGCTTTTGCCCCAGTCCTGGCTCTGCAGGGCACACCCAGAGGAGCGTGGGCCCAGGTGGCCACTGCCCCCTCCCCACTCCCCCAGCAGGGGCTCTGAGCTCTCTCCATCCACCCACCCCTGGGCACTTGCCTGGCGCCTGCCTCTGGCTGCAGGCTTCGGGATGGGGCAGGGGCCGCAGGGTGGGCAGGAGCCTAGGTCAGTGGGGCTGAGCCGCAGCTGCAGTGGGAGGTGGTCCTGGGTGGGGTTCTGGCAGCTTCCCCCAAGCCTGCGCCCCCCCAGCATCTGTCTCCAGGTCTGCGGCCCCACTGCCAGCAATGTCCCTCGAAACCATTCCCCAATCAGCCCCAGTGCCTCCTTCCCAAAAGTTGTCCCAGGACGTGCCCTTACTGAGCAACCACCTTCCCAACAACCCCGCCCTCCCAGACACTCACGCCGCCCCATGTCCTTCTCCACAACCTTCCAGAGTCTTCCCACAGGACACCTTCAGAGGGTTCCTTAAGTGTCCCTCAGAACCGTTCCCTGCCATTTATCCTTATGCTGAAAAAACCAGTTGTCCCCCAAATGTCCTCAGTGTTCTTCACCCAAAATCTTAGCCTATATTGCATCCCAAACTGTCTCCCCCAAATTCCTGAATGTCCTCCAAAATCATAGCCCCAAATGACCCTCATCATCGGTCTCAAAAATGTCCTCCCCCTAAACCCCGCAAAATGGTCTCTGAAACTGTATTCTTAACGTACAATCTCCCCCAAGCGATCCCATATAAAATGTGTCCCCCCAAATGCCCTCTAAATTCTAAATGTCATCTGTTCAGTTCGCAAAACTGTCTCCCCAAATGTCCCAGCCATTCCCGCAACCTCTGTTTCCCACCCCGCCCCCTCACCACCTCCCTCCCAGCGCCTCCTTCCAGGGTTGGGGGATTGGTTCTCGCAGGGAGTGGAGAGGCAGGGCCAGCCCACCCGCCCGCGCCCCTTCCCCCGGCCCTACCGCGAAGGAGGTGGCGGCGCACAGGCACAGCTGCTTCATGGCGTCCAGGGCGCCGGCCAGAGGGGCCCAGGGAGGGGCAGGCGCTGCCAGAGCTCGGCAGCCTGGCCACCAAGTGGTCCTGCCCCGCCAGCGCCGCCCCCTCCAGGGAGCGCCCCACCTGCTCCCCCACGGCCCCTCCCCCACGGGGTGAGGGATGTGCCCGATGGGGACCTGGACCTGGAGGAGGGGCGCCGCCCTGGCCAGACCTGACTTGCCGCTGGGAGGAGGCCAAGAGCACACCCCCACCTCCAGTGCCCGCTGGGTCTATCTCCAACGCTCTGTGGATCTGGCCAGGAGGGATCCTCGGTGAGTGGGCCTGGGCCCTGGATACACAGAGCCCTCCACTGCCCACCCTGCCACCCAGGCTGTAGCTCACTCATGCAATCATTCATTCATTCATTTATTCACTCATCCGCCAGTGGGACTGTGCAGTTCCAAAAACCTGAATTGGAACTCCCGTCCACCCTCTGTACCGCCTCCTCTGTCCCCGGTATTTAGGGGACTCAGCCAAGATACTTACCTGATGTGCATTTCACTTTCCTCCTCCAGGAAATGGGTTTCATAACAAACTGTACCTACTGCAGAGGGTTACTAGGAGGCCTGAGGGAGATAACTGGCGGCGAAGTAGTGCCTGGCACACAGCAAGTGTGCAGTCAGCAGGTGCACACAGCAAGTGTGTTATTACTAAGCTGCGGTTCACCTATCCAAGAAAGACATAGCTGGATCCACATGCGTATCTCATACTGAACTCTGGGCTCGAACGACATAGTAAGTGCTCAGTTAAATCACTCACAGAGTGGCTTAAGGGGATGGTGGGTCTGTGTACCTCAGACTGGGAGTCCCTTGAGAGGACAGCCTGGCTGAGGCCGCCCAGGCCCAGGGCCTGTCACCTCTGGGCAAGAGTGCGGGAGTTGGTAAATGTTTGCTGAGTTAATGAACCACTCCCAAGGCCAAGCTCTGAGCTACACAAATTTAAATCATTTCAGTCCATTTGTCCTCCTGGTGCCTGGCACTAGAGCTCAGTGACGACCAGCCGCAATGGTGAAGTCGAGACCAATTGGCCTACAAAGCACAAACATTTACTGTCTGGCCCTTAGAGAAAAAACTTGCCCACCCCTGCTCAAAATGGTCCCACTATCATCTCTGAGCTCATACTCTCCTCCTCCTTCCCACTGGGCCGACCCATCCTGCCACAGCAGCCTCCTGCCTGGTCAAGCTGCCTCGTCCCACCTCCAGGCTTTGCCTTTGGTGTGACCTCTACAGGAGCACCTGCTCCTCCCAAATGGTCCACATGGCTGATTCCATTACTGCTGTCTGCACTGGTAGACACCTCTTTGGGTCTTCTCTGGCCACCCCTGGTCACTCTCTAGCCCCTAACTAGGACTTGTTTTTCCTTCTTCATTCATACCAACACCTGAGATCCTACTATGTACCTGTTTGAAAATATTCTGTCTCCTCTTGGTTTCTCCCCTTTAATGTCTCCCTACTTGCAGGGACTTCGGTCTCGGTCACTGCCTTATCTATCTGCAGCGGAACGAGTTAGAGACTCTAGGGCCCAGTGTAAAAAGAAAATGTGGGGGCCCTGGTTAAAATTATTAAAGATGTCAAGACAGTAAGAACAGAGCATTAAATCAAACATGGCCCTTCCGAGTGTGGGTCCCTAAAGTCAGGATTGCCAGTAAGCCTGGCACACAGTAGGACCTCAGTCATATGTGTTGAATGAATGTAAGACATAGCAGTGACTCTGGAGAATAGAAATAGGAGAGAGATCCCAGGAAGCATTAAAGCACTGGGAGTCTATGAATCTAAAAGAACCCCAATCTCTTACCCATGAGGCTTTTATAAAACCTGAAATAAAGGCAGGAAATCCAGAGCCTAGGCCCAGGGCACCAGCTAACTTCTATCTTATGGATGAAAAACTGAGTCCAGGGAGAACCCAAGAAGGCTCAGAACAAGTATCCTGACAGGGGCTGGAAGGAAAGGCTGGCATTGAAGAATAGGAAGGAGCCGGCGGGACGGGCTGGCGGCAGGGCAGGGGGCTGGTCTGTGTGTGCTGATAGGGGAATAAAAGGTCCAAAGAGACAATGAGTGGACCTCTGCGGTCACGGGGTGTGCTTTCTTCCCTTGGGGGAACTGAACAAAAGCCTGAACCCGACTCCAGCTGCCGTCTGAGAAACTGGAGCCAGGAGGGTGGGGGGGCACAGTGAGCTGGCATGGGGAGCACAGGGGAAGCGAGGGAGGGTGGAGGGCATGCTTCCCTCCACCCCCACCCCCAGGCCTCTCATCTGCTGCCACTGCCACCCTGGGCTCCTCCCCGCTGGAAGCAAACACTGCCTCAGCCCACCCAGACACCTGATACACCCCAGGCCCCAGGCCCTCACACCTGCCGCCTCTCACCCCCCCTTGACCTTGACTGTCTGCCATGTACCTACTAAATACACCCTTGTCCCAAATTAGGTGTCTTATTTTTATTTTGTAGCTGCACACACTTTTGGATGGATTTGCTTTCAACGTCATTCTGCTTTTGAAATTTAACAACTGACTTCTTGGGAATTCTTGGGGGGGAAATAGGAACAGTCTCCCTCCCTCCCTAACCCCCCACCTTGGTCCCCTCCCTTCCCCCTCCCCCCTCCAATCATTGCACTCCCCTGTGTTCTTCTTAATGACACAGCCCTAAGGAAGGCAGGTGTCTCATTTCCCAGCTGTGAGAGCTAGAGCAAACCCCTTCAATACTCTGGGCCTCCTTTCCTCAGCTATGAAGTGGGGGTGTAACTGAAAGTTCAACCCCATATCACAGGAGGCTTAAATGAACTGACATCTGCAAAACACAGGGTCAGCTCCCTATAGTGTTTGAAAACAAATAAATAAAAACAAAAACCAGATGAAATAAATACAAACTCGACAACACTAAATTTCTAAAAATGAAATTTGAAGTATTAATAAAGTGAAAAGGGTGGTTTAAATGAATAAATACTAAAAATAAAGACATTGGAAAGGCTGACAGAGGTGACAACTGGGTGGTGACAGACCTAGTCACCCAGCTAGTAGGGGCAGAGGAAGGATTTGAAGTCAGAGCTGCCTGCCTTTAAAATGAGGCTTGTTGCACCGTCCCTCTTTTTGATTTTCAGTGACTCCTAGCACCTGCTCATCTTCCATTAGGGCCCTGAATCAACCTGTCAGCCTCCAAAAATTTGCCCACACTGGTCCCCACCCCAACCTGTGTGCCTTCACTTGTCTGAATTTTCCCTTTTCTCCCAGGCTTCACTCCAGTGCTGCCTCCTTCAGGCAGCCCCCTGTGATTGCTCTGGGTCTTGTCTGTGCATGGAAAGGCTGTATTGTGTGGTGGAGAGACCAAGGGCTCTGAAGTCAGCATGCATGGGTTTGAATCACAGGCACTGGCACTTCATTTTGTGACCGGGAGAAGTCAGTTAACCTCTCAGAACCCCGGATTCCTTGGACTGTTAAGTGGAGGCCAGTCACAAAGGGGCACTCAGGAAGGCTGGCTGCCCCACACTGAATGTGAATCTTTACTTCGGTTCTCACAATCTGTGCCCTGGACTGGCCTGCACATTGGCAAGGACTTGGGGTGCCTGGAGGGAGTGGGGAAGACAAAACATTGCTCTCTGGGTGTTCAGAGTGTGAGATGAGGCTGCAAGGGAAGCCAGCTTGATCTTGTTATAGAGCAACCCGTCCCTTTTCCCCCTAACAATCTCACCTCAGGGCCTTTGTACTAGCTGATCCCTCTACCTGGAAGGCAACTCCTGCAAAAGTACACATGACCCCCTCTTTCCCTTCTGATCTCTGCACTATTATCAGCTTGGCGAGCCCTTTCTTAATAACCTACTTAAAAATTGCAACCATTGCCACTGCCAAGGGTAGTCCAATTCTTTTGCCTTATTCATCTCCATGGCACAAAATTTGCCTTTTCAAGTATTTATCTTATTGGTGTCCACATTCCTTACTTTGCTGTCCACGCTGTGAGTATAGGGGTATGTCTGTCCTATTCACTGCTGTTTCCTGTGTGCCTAGAACAGCACCTGATACAAATATTTGCTGAATAAAAACTCAAAAGCAACACATGAAGGACTCCGAGAAAGTAAGTTCTCAGAAAAGCAAGTGGTCTCGGCAGCTGATGCCAGAGATTTGCTGTGTGGGAGCCAAACTGGAAAGGATGCAGAGGGCTTGATGGGCTTTAATGCCCTGACAGGGCGTTCCAGGTAGAGGGAGCAGCCTGGCCAGAGGCTAAGGGGCTGGAAAGCTTGAACAGGAAGCAGTGAGGGGTCAGGGGGCAGTAGAGAGCAAAGGAAGGGAAGGTGGACAGAGGCTTCAGGGCACAGATCTGAACCTATGGGTGCTCTTCCTGGGGAGCCATGGAAGAGTTTTAAGCAGGTTCATAATGAAGCTGCCAAAAGAATCTGACACGGGGAGAAGGACAATGGTCCAACAGCCAGTGGATCTTCAGCCAGTGCCCGGGGGAAAGGGACCTAATGTTGGACGGCCTCTGGCATCTCAGTGGCTCAGACTCACCTCTGTCTTCTTGAATCGTGCCCGGAGAGTTTTCATGGCCAGTGTCTGGAGTTTCTGCTCTCCCCAGGTAACCTGGAGAACAGAAGGGAGTGAGAAACATCAGTCCTGTGGGCTGAGAGTCACTACCTTCTTCTCCCCAAATGGACCACTTCCTCCTCCCTGGGCCATGCCAGCCCCTAGCGCAGGACACAGACCTACCCCATCTCCTAACTGCTGTTTGTCCTTTGGCAAGTCACTTGCCCTCTCTGAATTGCACTTCCCTCATCCCTAAAATCAGGGAGATAATCCCCTCTT